AAACTAATTTTTTTTTAATTTATAATAATTGTATCAGAAAATCCTCTTTTGAATTTCTAAGTGGGAAACTGTTCATATAACTGCTCATTTAATTATAAAAAAACCTATCAAAATCCTCTAGAGAAATCTTCATAAATATGAGATTGAAAAGGAGAAAAATTTCGACTCGAAAGAGAGATTACTAACGTTAAATGGATTTCGAAGATGAAGCTTCACGATGTTCTTCATCGTACGTCTGAAGCCATCCGGGTCAGGGGTCATGTGCGAACTGTGTTCTAGGATATATTGCGCAGCCATTTCGCCCTATGCATATTTTATACGTGAGCTTTACGAAAAAATAATGATACGATAGATGGAATGTTTTATACAAAATAATTATAAGATATTAATATTTTTTATTGTAGTAAATATTTTTATATAATCAGAGAAACTCATAAAATTCTTCCAATACCATATTTGCCCAATTGATTGTCTCATGAATTTCAGGATAAATTCCAAGAGAAAATTCTTTCTATTTTTTTCTAGTATTTTAATGTTTAAAATATAAAAATTAAAATACTAGAAAATACTATATAAAAATATTATAAAAATTAAAATCCTAGAAAAAATAGAAAGAATTTTATCCTGAAATTTATGAGATAATCAATTGAGACGATATAGTTATGGAAAAATATTTTATAAGAATTTCTCCGATTAAAAATATTCACCACAATAAAAAATATCAATATATTAATTTATATATCTTACACATTGTGGTAGATATTAAAATTCTCTCTGTGTATACATTATAAAGAGAGGAAGAGAAAAAGAAGGGAATAGTAAATATTTCCATCTCGGTTTACATTTTCCATTATAGCGAATTAAGAAGAAAAACCGAGAGGGCAAAAATAATGATATGCGTGTAAATATAAAAAGTGAACGCGTTATCTCTCTCGGGGACTTACGTTTCCCATTAGCACGGAGTAAAAAACGTCCCGGAGATTTTGTCGGCAGCGATCATTCAGGGATACCACTAGGCCGCAGTCCAGTATGATCAAGCGTGGGTCGTCCACCACGTAATCGGGGTTAATGACCCGTCGAAAGGTGTTAAACAGGCCCGCCTTCGGCGCGACCGCTTTTTCGACTAGAATGTTGCCCGGGTGCAGATCACAGTGGATAAAATTGTCCCGAAATATCTAGATATTTCAAAGATTTTTCTGTTTTCCTCGTATACATTTCACCCTTAATCGATTAAAAAAAATAATCTAACGCGATATTAATTATATTCGTCTCACAGAGAGAATTTTCTCTTAGAATTTTTATATCCCCACTGAAAAAAAATTTATTTAATTCGAATAAGTATTTGTTTCAATACTGCCAAATAAATCATTTATTTGAAACTAATAATATTTATTTGATATAAGAAAATCCTTTTCAAAACAAATAAATATTTATTTGTTTCAAATAAATGATTTATTTGGCAGTATTGAACTAAATATGTACTTAATTTAGTCATTTTTTTTTCAGTGCCGAAATTCATGGTAATCTTGGGATAATAAATTAGAATTTTATAAGAGTTTCTCTGATTAAAATTAATTTTATCATGTACATTATTAATATTTTTTGTGATAAATATTAATCAGAAAAATTTTCATAAAATTCTTCAATTCTTCTAATATTCTTCTATATTCGCACGATTATCATGATTTTCATGGTAAATTCTAAGAGAAAATTCTCTCCGTCCATTTTTTACAAATATATATATTTTCATATACATTGAAAAAAATCGTTAACTTGATTAAATTGTTCAACTAAATTACTATTTTACTTTATTAATTAAATATATATTAGTATATTTAAGTTAAATATACGTTTTGTTAGATTTAATATTATATTTAATTTAAATTTTCCTACATGTTCAATTAACAAAATACTATTTAATTGAACAATTTAGTCAAGTTAACACATTTTTTTCACTATAGAAAATCTATTCAACCTCGTCTAAAAATCTGATATCTTCGACTGACGTCGATAGAATATTTTAAAATGTTTCAGAAAAGAAAAGTCAACTTGTGTAATTAATATATAATGATAAAATTGTTTGCTCTCAAATTATGTACACTGAAAAGAAATTTAACTTGACTAAATCTTTTTTAAACTAAATATTATTTTGTTAATTGAACATATAAAAATATTTAAATTAAATATAACATATTAAATCTAACAAAACGTATATTTTACTTTTAAATACTACTATATGTTCAATTAACAAAATAATAATTTATTTGAAAGGTTTGATCAAGTTAACAAATTCTTTTCAGTGTATATATTCAGTGTATTTATCAACTAAATATTATTTTGTTAATTAAACATATAAAAATATTTAAATTAAATATAACATATTAAATCTAACAAAACGTATATTTTACTTTTAAATACTAATATATGTTCCATTAACAAAATAATAATTTAATTGAAGGTTTGATCAAGTTAACAAATTTTTTTTCAGTATATATATTAACCATTTTAAAGACTGTCGCGATTCCTATTCTGGCGAGCTTCCTCTGCAAAGCAGCGTCATCGTGGTCAAGGTAATCGGAAATCGACGTGCCCTCGTGGAAGCTCTCCACGAGTATCCTACGACGGGTCAAGTGCATAAAAGGATGCGGAAACGCGATATCGTTCCTCCTGGAAAAGTTCGCCGAAAATCTCGCCAGATTCGCGGCTTCCAGTCGCAAGTCGACCTTCGCAAACAATCGATTCAATTAAAAGCATCACTTATTCGATTGTTCCCTCTTCGGAGATGAGGCTATATAATTCGACGAGCTGGCAGCTCGTTTAAATTCCTTCTCGCGATCATCATCATTTCGCGATAATATCAAAGCGACAGTTTCTCATCGATCTCCTCCGTTTCTCACGGAGAGAATTTTCTCTTAAAATTTACCCTGAAAATCATGGTAATCGTGGAACAATATATGACATTGGAAGAACTGTAGAAGAGCTTTCTCTGATTAATTTTTACTACGATAAAAATATTAATATATATGTACATAATAAAATTAATCGAACATATTTTTATATCTTATTGTGATTAAATATTTAATCAGAGAAACTCTAATAAAATTCTTCCAATATCACATTGTCCCACGATTACTATAATTTTCAGGGTAAATAATTCTAAGGGAAAATTCTCTCTCTGTGCACGAACTCGTCGGAATTACATGAGGCTCTCTCGACGAGAAATTATCGTATCCCGACAAACAGAGTTCGCGTATAACGAGATATTCCTTCGATATTGCGCGAGAGAGGAGGATGCGGCGAGAGTCGTGGGAAATATTCGTGTTGTTGCAAAGTTACTTGCTTGGTCTTCCATTATGCGCGCGAATTCGTCGATGCAATCCGTGAGACTGAGCCAATGCAGTTCCGGTACGAAGTACATGACGCACTTGCTAAGGCCGCGCATTATCGCGATGTCTCTTCTGAAACGAATAGAAAATATATATACGGGGTGTCTTGTAATAAGTAATAACGAGATGCTGCGACGTGTCGATTCGTTCTCGATCAAAGAATCCAGACGCGCCAGGAATTTTCTTTTCATACATTTAAAAATAAGAAAAGCTGCACTCTTTGATTAATTTCTAAAAAAATTGAAAGATTTCTAAAAAAGAGTAAAATTTATTTTGACAAAGTTCTAAATTCGATTTGTTATAAAGTTGGGCACGTAATATATCTTCATCTATTTTTGCCGAGAAGAAATCGACGTTAAATTAGCCAAGAAATCCGCATATTATAAGCGTGCCAAACACACGCTTAATAATAGCGAAAAGCCTGATGTAATTGTAAAGTTATAAACATTCATAGTTCACATTGTGCGAGCTCTTATCTAAAACGCGATTGTACGTTTTGTTCGAGGATTATTAAAAGTATTATCTACACGATATTTTCAAAGGGGATACTTGAGTTGGCCTTTGATTCCGGGATGTAATACTTTTACGGCTACGACTTGCAATTTCCTGGCACGCAGACTGGCAGGCGCGAATTCATCATTTTCATCGTAAACTTGGTCTGAAATTATCGATTGTCGATCTGTCATGTATAACGAGTCATTTATTAATGACTTGTTTGTTAAATCATTAAATCGGAATTACAAGCATTAATAATAGCAAAAGAACGAAAAAGAGGCAATGCTATTTCGATATTACACGGTTCAATATAGCTTTTTTTATCATAATTTTCCTTAGTTTTGAAAATTGTTGCAAACAAAAATTTATTAACTTTGAAGAAAAATTATTCATTATTCCGTAAAGAATTTAGTAAGTATTTTACAGTTGGTAGATTTTACAAAATTTTATGTGTGTGTATTTTACATCAAAATAAATTATTAATTAATTAATAATTTTATATTATATATATATATATTTTACATAAAATATAATTATATATATTATACATAATAAAAATAATATGTATAATATAATATATATAAAAATATTAATGTTAATTGTATATATTAATTAAAATGTATTTTGATGTATATACTAACGTATAATCCATAAAATCTATTAACTCTCTAAAGTATTTGCTAATTTTTTCTAGAACAAACATAATAAACATATGACATATATATGTAATATATGAGCTATATGTAAATCCATCTCTAAATAGACCTGAATGTTTCGTCGCAAAACGAAAGATAACAAAGGCGATCTTTCGCAAAGTGTCTCGCGCGATTTCCTATCACATTACAGACGCACGCAAGGCAAGAAAATACTCTTTCTCGCTTACTTTCCACGAAACGCGACATCCGAGGCCCCCGTATCGTCGCATTCAAGTCGATCCACGCTTTGTACACCTGTAAATCGACTTTGCCGATGCATGTATATATAATCTTGCAAAAACAACATTCGGTGTATATGTATATCCTGAATAATATATTATCGTATGTACAACCTCATGTCCGATAGCCATCGATAGCCGCTATCTATATATAATTTATCCCATCGGGTTTTCCATCCACATACCTGCGCGCAGCATCCCGAGCCGATCAATCCATCGTCGTCGAATCTCGCAAACAAGTCCCGCCAGGAAGAGCCGTACGTGGCTTCGAGAAGGCGTTCCGTGTACAGCCAAGAGTGCGGCGTCACATCTCGTTGCAGCCTCGACAGAGTGTCGCAGATATCCCCCGGGATGACGTCTTTCCGCGTCGACATCCACTGCCCGAACTTGATAAAAATCGGTCCGAGAAACTCCATACCTGACAAAATATTATTATAAATACATGTACAACTTCCTGTTTTCACGTATCGAATGATCGTCAAAATGTGCATTTATTATATATAATTCAGATTTGTATTATATATTATTATTATATTTATTATATACATATATTAAATATGTAATAGAGAAAAATTTTATTATATGTTATATCTATTATTTATTAAATAATGAATAATAGATATATCTTATTTTTTATTATATATGTATATATAATATCTATTATTTAATAAATAATAAATACCAGATTTATTAAATTAATAAATTAATTTAATAGATAATAAATTTATTAAATAATGAATAGATATCCTATATTATTATATATGTATATATGTAGTATCTATTATTTAATAAATAATAAATATATTACATATATATATAATAAAATATATAAATTTAATACATTTTAATAATTAACATTAGAAATTTTGGTAGATGTACTATTTTTTTTTCAAATTATGTCTCAATTTCTCGACAATAATAACCAAGTTGTGGATGCGATATATATTTTCTAGATATACGATTTTTTATCTACATACCTGTTCTCAGAGCAATGGGGAAAAGATTGACATGCGTCAGACGCGTTATCAGGTACGCGACGATAAGGGTGGTGACGACCGAGCTTACGACGACGATTCTCGCCAAAATCAAAACCGTCTCGCGCGCGTGCTCCAGGAAGCTGCCCTTCCTCCGCAACTCCTCCTCGTCGTCGGCGAATCCGTAGATTTGCGGCTCGCGGATCTGAACGCGTGATGGATTCTTCCGGGAGATCGCGATGCTCGCAGAGGTTAGATCGCTGCTCCGAAAACGAGGCGTCAACTCCTGGTGGAAGCTTCTCCGACGAAGCTGCCATTTCTTCCGACGCAACGACGCGAGGAACCTCGCGAAATTCGGACGAGAAAACATGGCCGCCGCGACCCATAAAACATATCGGTACAAATTTATGTTGTTTTATGTCGTTTATTCGGAACGCGACAAATTCGCTTCTTCGCGGACGTTCGCGATGATCCCCCGGAATGATTCGTCCACGTCCATGACGCTAATTAAATGATAATTATCTCTCCCGGAACAATAATTTTCTTAAGTCGATCGCGCGCGCGTTCCCTCGACGAAAGTCACCCGCGACGTGAAGTTAGTCACGTGACGTCAGTCACGTGACGCGGAGTTTGCGTCTCTTCTTTCCCGCCTTTTTCTCGCGACCGCAGCGCCGCGCTTTGACACTCGCGCCGCGCGCGGAAAATTTAAATTCGTATTTGGGGACACGGTATATTTATGACGAATTTGAAATAGATCGCGACGTAGAAATGTAAACCTGTAATATAAAATAAATATTAAATCAATCTTATATCAATCTGTATATAAAACTTTATCATTTTGCTTGACAATGTAAGAAAAATTATTGTAATGTATATTTACTTTTATCTTAATAATAATTATATATTTTTTTTATTTAATTATAATGAATATTTATTATAAAAATTAATTGTTATAGCGATTTTATGCTATTAAATTTTGCTCCACTTGACAATACAAAGAATAGAACCTAAAATTGTCCACACCTCCAATTGGTCAATATTCAGAATGGAACTCTCCGATTGGTCATTGGACTAGTTACTCTAGACGGCAATCGATTTGAGCGACTAGTGATTTACAAAATATATGGCCAAATGGAACGTTTCCTAACGCAAACTATTTCGAAGCATTCGTAAGCTCAAGCGGAATACGTTCTTATTTCGAGAAAGAGAGAAAAAGGTGAGTTTTGAAAATTTAATTGCAATTAGAGTAATGAATAAAAATTTCATTTCCGTTCGGAAAATGCGGCGAGGGAACATATAATTTTTCTCAATAATGACAAAAATCTCGACGCGACTCGAGAGCGCCCGTTCGACTTCTCGCACGGTGTGTGTTAAAAATAAACACACGGACAAGCGTGGGAACGCGATATATTTCTCAGGATTGCATTGACATTATTTTCGTGCTGACCGAGATAAATATTAAAAAGTGTCGGATATAACGCGAGCGAAGCGTCGAAAAATTCCACGTACGATGCACCTGTCAAAATCAGCTGAGCGGAACGAATTGGAAGACTGAGGATCGGCCGAGTCACCCTGACACGTCTGGAAGGAATCCGGAATAAAAATGCCCACCGTAGCCAACTCGTCGCTCACCTACGAGATTCTCATGTACCTGAACTCCTTCTACTTCGGCATGTTCGCTGTGTGCGAACTGGGCATGGGACTGTTCAAGGTCGCGAATCTGCCCTCGCCAGGCGCAAGTAAGACCCTGACGGAATTCGCGCTGCTGCTCTTCCTGATCGCGACGGAGGGCGGCAGGATCTACCTTGGAAGGAAGGGAAATCTGACGGAGCGCGGAACGCCAATCCTTATAGGGATAGCCCTGACCGTCCCCAGCTCCTTAGCGACACTGTACTTCCTCCTTTGGCAGTACTATGTGCTCAAGCTGGAGGTGATTCTCTGCAGCATACAACTGGTCCTAGTGGCGTCCGAAGTGGTCATCGCTATCATGTGCCTTATAGCCATTTATCGACCACCACCCCCGGAGAAATGATATAGCTTTTGTATTTGTATTTCACTTCGCACGATAACTTTCATTTTACACCTTGTCACTTTGCTTAACAATGCATTCCGAGTGTTAATGGTTTGTCATAGACGAGGTTGAGCTGTCTATCATTGTTTTTGCCAAATAGTAAGATTTTTCATCCTTAATTGTTTCAATTATTGTATCTCTACATCTGAGAAACAAATTTACTATCGCCCTACATAATATAAATTTGGTATCGCATAGTTTCTCTGAATCTGGTTAATAAGTCTGCATTCTGTGCAATATATTACGCATGTATGCACTGAGATATAGTGTGTATTGGTATTTTGCAAATATTTATTATTAAATTTTTAAAATAAAGATTGGCTACTAAATAGAGAAGAGCTAGAATTCTATATTTTTATATCTTTCTAGAGATATAAAATGCTTACATGTAATGAAAAGATTTAAAATTTTACAAATAAAATATACATTTTGTAGTGTGCCTTGTATATGTACATATACACTAATCTACATTCCATATACTGAGAATTAGAGCATAAATAATTTTGGAATCTAAATTTTATATAATTATCTTAAAAGTAATAATTCATACACGCACTATATACTCAGTAGCTACTTAATTTTATTTAAAAGCGATTATATAAGAATAAATTGAAAGATTTTGCTAGACTTGATGATTTCTAATATTGATATTAACAATATAAACACACTGCCATTTATATATATATATATATATATATATATATATTTTACGTTTAAATAGAATTATTTATATAAATTCTATGGAAAAAAAAAGAAAATTTGTGTAATCTCAGTGCTATATCCCTGTGTTGAATGTAATTGCTATAGTGGAAAAAAAGCTTGCTGTACACACAGATGATTGTTTGTATATGTATTTATATCAAAATAAATATTTTTTTAAATAAATAATACAATGGCATAGCACTCATTACATTAATATGAACATGATATAATGCCAACGTGTTTTCTTTCAGATCACATACGTCCAAGTACTTTTCTTTCAAAATACATATTACACATATATGCGACATACACTTCATGTAACTACATTTTATAATAAATATATTTCTGAAAGAGTCAGTACGATTAAAAGCTATCAAAACTATCAGGAATATATTCGTGATACATATAGTATACAGAGACATTACGCGATCTCGAAAAATTGATTATACAAACGTAGGATAGAATTCTTGATGCTTGCAATAAAAGGCTAGAATAGAAATAATTACAGTGACAGAATTCTATCCTATAATCTACAGCAATTACAATGAACAATTGAATTCTACAGTTACAATTGCAATTCTGCCTAAGTAATACAACTCTTAATGTTTTATACTATTTGCCGCGGCCCTTCGTCTTCTAATTGCCCGTAATCGATTGTTACAATAAATTCGTAAAAATACTGAGCCGAATACCAACAGTATACCGAATACTCCGATTACTGTGATTTCGTGATGATAAATTAAGCAAGACAATAGTATTGCCAAACCCTGTAACAAACATTGTTTATATAGAGTTGTGTGTTTTAATTATCTCAATTTTTTATATATAATAATATTCTATTATCGTACCTGACGAATAGTCATCATAATGACAAATGTAATCGATCCAAATTTAGAAATGGTGTAAAAGATGTACAACTGTCCGCTTGCTGAGCAAATTGATATCAGCAAGCAATCAATTATAAACCTAGGGTACTGTACAATAACATTATTAGCATTATATTCTTATGCAATATATAACAATTAATAAAAATACTAATATATGATGCAAAATTGATTACCGTTGTCATAAAAGAGAATATTAGTGGAAAGCTTGATTGCTGAAACAAAGACATTGCAGTCAGCAGACAGGAAAACATATTAACTGCACACATCATTTGTACGCTTGTTACACCATAGTCTATAAAAAGTGCATTTTGCCAGGTACTCGTAAAACTATCTAATAATAAGTAGCCTCCCAATAATATAACACCAGAGAGTGTTGTAGCTCCGTCTGAAAGCGTTTGTAAGTCTGTCATAATGTTTAACCACATCTATAAAAAAATATACATTGTCTTTTGAGTTAGCACTCATTGTCAGGCATTACCATTTTTATGATCAGAACTGTCCAACATAAAGAGAGTCATTCCGATGGAAATAAGAATCGCGGTGACATACTCGTAATATTCATATGTTGTATGTGAAACTATTTTTCCCATTATCATAACAGGAATAATTTTCGAAGCTTTGGCCAAAACCTAAAAATAAAATGTTACACATGTAAAACAGTGTGCAAACTTTTATTAATTGGTTACTGTAAAAAATAATATCAGTGATTAGAGAAAAGTATCATATGTAAAATTGTAATTTTTTTACCTGCGATGGAAAACTGACATATTTCAGAGCTTCGTATTGACACCAACTACTCATGATATTTGACAGAGAACAAAACGCGTACTTATATAACGGAGTCTTATGCTGTGGCTGACGTTGTATAAGTAAATATATTCCCGACATGATAAAGGCAAGAATACGATTTACAAACACCAAGAATTGTGAATCTTGAAACCGTGCTTTATTGCCAGAAGCATCTTCATATTCCTGTAAAAAATTATTTAATTAGAAATTTATTATATATATATATAAGCAAGGTTTAATCATAAAATAACAGTACAAATAGCATTCTTTTTAATAGATATTTATAATGTTTTAGAATCTTGACAAAATATTTATATTTTGAACATACTTGTGTCATTATCTTTTCTTGTAAATAGCCCCATGTTAAATAACTGATTTGCAATCCAAGGAAACAATACATTAGGAGTAGGGCATCTTGAGTAAAAGTCCGTTGGACATGTGCGGAAGCATTGGGAGTATATGAAGGCGAATCCAAAAGACCCGTCTCACAGTGTCCCATAAAACATGAATGCACCAATCTAGAGATAGAGCTTTTCCCTGCAAAAATATTAGTTACTCTATTATTGCAACACACATGTATCTAAGAATTTATATTAATTCTTTACAATTACTTACCACCCCTTTGAATATATTTTGTATAGCGTACATATTTGTATGTAAGGCAACCTGGCAACAATATAGTGGCATATCCCAATAGATTTAAACATAATCGAACAATCCAACTGTACGTAGACGTCTTAAGAATATCTTCTCCATTATTTGTGAATGATTTGATGACCTCGCTGATTCCAAATACGACACTGACTGAAAGTAGTACCAGCAGGCTACGAAAAATATTCTTTTAATTATATTGCAATAAATATGAATCATATATGTACACACACACACACATATATATATTTGTATAAACACACTTGTAGATGTGACGTAAAGTTTATATCTCTTTATGATGTAAAGATATATAAACTCAATTTATTTTGTGTGATAAGAAAATATTCATTAATATTCATTATAAGAAAATATGATAAAATTGTATGCGAGATTGTACACTACTAATTGCCTGCACTTAATGTATGCAGATGAGCGAAAAGTGAAAAGTGCTACAACAGCATTTGCATTTTTAGCGCAAAATTAGAACTGAAACGCACCAGATCACGATGTCACCCATAAAGTTTCCCATACTTTTAACGAAATGAGAAACTTTCGCGATCCGATTTGGTTATCCGGTTATCCCATAACCTTCGTCATGGACGTCCCCTTACTCGATCGTCCACGTACATCCGCGCGGTGCGTACGAATGCGCTTAGAGGAACCTTCATCGACTGTGCATTGTGTTATACATCCATCACATCAAAACTGTAATTAATCTTATCTTTCGCACTCAGTTCTATCATGCTTTGCGATGCTCCAATCTTCGTCGCAACAAAACCTAGATATATCGCATATGAATAGATATATATATATGTATATATATATATATATATATATATATATACACATATATATATGTATATGTATATTTTATCACGTTAGGAAGAGCATCAGAGCTGAATTAAATTTTTTGGAGACATCTGCTATATTTAAATGTCATTATTTATTTTATTAATCGATTAATTTATTTTTCAAATAGAGTCGCGAAGTGAAGCTGTCATAATCAGCTGATCGAGGCGATACAATCGATCTAAGATCTATCACACTCGATTATATCAGCAGCAACTTCACGTTTGTCAAATCAGAGACTTCGCTCGCTGTTATAAGACACAATGGAAAATTGGCACCGGATCTGTCAAGCTCAGTACGAATTTAAATATGCATATAGTTTTGCAGCGCGATTTCATGGTATTTATATCATTATGTATATTGTTTGGCAGATGATTATTGTTCATCTCGTCCATTTTCATGCTGTATTTCAAATGACAGATAGAGGTAACCTACATCTTAATACAGCCCTGATGACACGTCATACGTGCATACGTCACGTGTCATGTATAGGAGAATCGCGCGCTTATAGTGCAACAATTATTTAATCAGGCGTTGGAAAATGACGAAAAAAAAATCATAAACTCGAAGGACGTCCGCGCAAGAGAGAAAGAGGGAGAAACATCGTATATCCGTCGATTTGGCGGGGCAGAATAAAGTCGCGGCCTTGGGATAGCGCATTCGGATATGCAAATGTGCGTTGCGCCTGCGTATATGTGTAAGTATTTGTATATATATATATATATATATATATAATATATACAGAAAATATATATATATGGATATAAGGTACGTGTACATATATTTATGTGCGTCCGACTAACCCGACGTTTTCTATTAAAAAAAAATAATAAAGGTTCGCAAGGACATCGGACGCACCCCCGACTCAATTTTGCGAAAGTTTAGAAGTTAACTTTCTCATCTATACGCACGCGGAGAGACGATTTGCATCTGATTATTCCTCGATGGGAAATTCGATCCGACGTCATTCCTCATTTTACGTCCTTTTAACGATCGGCGTTAAGTATCCCGGTAATTAAACGTTGTAATTGTTCGCTTTTATAAGTGAAAGTTTCTTTGCGGGATTTAATGTATTCTTTTAATGTCACTTAATTATATTTATAAGCAGGTTTCTCGAATTGAATTTATATGTTGTATTTATTTACTTGATCGATGAAAAACCGAAAGTTGGATGATTTAAAGATCTGGGATCTAAGAGGAATTTTCTCTCTCTCCAATTAATCTCTCTCCTTTCGCTTTTCAGATAAAATGAAGATGAGAGCTGATGATGACGATGATGGAAGTTGACTTTATCGAAATCAAAAATCCAAGAATGATTAAAAACCGGTTGATCAGAGTCGAGAATGACAGAGAGGACAAGAAAGAAGAAGGAAGAGGAGAGATACTCGGATCGTTCTTCCTCGTACTTGGCGGATGCTGATGAAGGTGTGACGCAATCGAGAAAAAATTCCACCTTTATATACATTAGCCAATCGCGAAAGATATGGAAAACCGTGAGATTTCTTTCATTAACGAGCTCCATCATTAGCGAATGCATTCTTTCCCCGATACGAATAATAATCCTAAGCCGATTATCACAATTCCGTTTCGAAAGGAATCTCCCTCTTCTCCTTCAGCTACAGAATTAACGACCGGTTGTTATCAGCCGTGTTATCAGGCCTATTAAGTATCGCCGTCAGGCGATATTTAATTGAACGGAAAATTAAGTAAGTTAATTAAGTCTGTCTAATATAATAGTACAGAAAATTAATATAATAGATTGGTGCGTTTGTTTGTTTATTGAGAGATCGCACGCATAAAACGCGCTCTTGTGTTCGTGAAAATTCAAAGGGGAGACAATGCATTTGTTTACTTCAGTTTAAAGCAGATAAAGATCGATTGATCGAATCGAATTATATATTACTCCGACCACGCGCGTTCCAGATTCAAGCGTGTTTCTCATTATTCAGTTCGATGCACCAGTACACATTATAAGCTGTCGGATATCAATTTACAATAGCATAAGTAATTGAAACAGCGAGATAATTAATACTACGAGATATTCAATATATGGAATAATAATCATCCATTAATTATCTCGCTATTTTATCTTCCGAAAAAATATGTATATTAATTTGCAATAATATAAGTAAATTAAACCGCAAGATAATTAATACTAGCTATTATTATTATTATTCAATATAGTATATATACAATAATAATAATAATCTATTAATTATCTTGTAATTTTCTCTTCCGAAAAAAAATTTATATAATATAAACTATATATAAACTCATGACTCATTAATTATTTCTTGTTGTTTTAATTACTTATGCTATTATAAATGTGTATACATATAAATATTGTACACATTTAAATAGTGCATCCAATCGAATTGCTATTACCCATACAGCACAAAATATTTTAAAAATCTTTTAAAAATATTTGTTAAAAGATAAAATAATTCTCAAAAATATTTGTAAAATGTTTTTATGTCCGCTTTTTCATGTTTAAAAAATATTTTTAAATGTAGATTGAAACTAATATTTCAAAAATATGTATTAAATATTTAAGAAAATATTATCTGAGTGATAAAGAACATTTTTTAAAATATTTTTAAAAGTTTTTCAAAATATTTTAAAAAATGTTATTACAAAAAATTTTTTAATTATTTTAAAATATTCCTAAAATTATTTTAAAATGTTTTTATACAATATTTTATAGAAATATGTGGAAATAGTTTTTTAAAACATTCATAATATTTTGTGCTGTATGGACGTATGCACCTGCCACTTTTGACTTATTTAGTTTATTTTTTTTCCGTCTATAATTGTACAGACGATAAAGAAGCATGCAGAATAGTGTTTGGTAATAGACGCAATTAAGATAAAATAGGTTCTTACAACAGTTTTTTACAATGCAAGACTTTAGAGACAAAAGATTATAAAACTCTGTATTCAAAATTTATTCTTGTGGACGCTGCATCTTTTCAAAATTTTTATTAAATATCTCGCTTATTGTACGTATCGCTTTTTGCATATGTATATATATATATATATATACACATATGCAAAAAGCGATACGTATTATTTACGTATTATATATATATATATATATATACACATATGCAAAAAGCGATACGTATTATTTACGTATTATATATATATATATATATATACATATATAACAGCATACGCATTAGCGATACGTATTATTTATATATATATATATATATATATATATATGTCAAAATATATTTCTCATACTTTTCGTATAAATTCCAAAAAAGAAAATTATTCACGCCTTGACATTTTAGTCATCGCGATGGACGAATCGTTTCGACTCAACATTAAACGCTTGTTTATTACCAAACAATCTACCTTACTCTATAGCTTGTTCAATTTATCGAGAAATTTATTTAGGAATCTATCGAGAAATTTTTTCCTGAGCCACACATTCGTACCCATATATACAGGGTGTTAAAAAAATTAGACCGATAAATTTTGAAAAGAAATAGAAAAAACTTTTTGTTAATTTCGCTATTTTTCTCTAGAACGATTTTAGTTTTATATTATATGAAATAGTTTGAAAAAATATCCACCCCCACCAAGTTTTATTTTTAATTTGTTTGAAATTAGAGAAAAAGTAAAAACGTAATTTTTACCTCCCTCTTTAAAAAAGAATGTAATCCCTCGGGCGGAGTATATGTTTATATAAAAATAAAGTCCCCTTAATTTTCGATAAAGAATTATGTAAAATGTTTCGCACTTATTTAGATACACCCTGTATATATACACGTGTGTAATATGATGACCGCGAGAGAGCGCGATTAATTAAAAGCCCCGATCTTGCCGTCCCACTTTTCCCAATGCTGCATTCGAAACCTTGAACGATATATCTCATCTATTCTATCCTGCTTTATTATGCCTCGCGATCTTCTAGTCCGTCCGGAGTGCAGTGTGTCATGCGCAAGCGATGACTCCACTGCATTAAAACGTCATATATAAATATCACAACACAACGCGTTCACACTACTTCACACCAGATGGGCGCTTCTTATATATCGCGATGTGGCCAGGTGGCCAACGTGTATTGTATGACTAATCGTTGTGAGAAAAATAGCTAACAACTTGATAAGTAATTGACGGCTGCGTGGCACTTTGACGCGTAAAATCGTACATGTTCATCCCCTGTATATAGGTCTCATATTTCCAAACAAGATTCATTTGCATCGCAATCAAATCGCATCATTGCGAGATAAATGACGCTGAAAATAGCTCGAACGAAATATCGAACTCTTTCGAGTTTAATTTTTATTTATATATTTTATTGTTATATTAATTATATATTTATGCGATATATATTTAAGTTTTTTATATTACTTATTTAGACTAGTCGATCATTTTTTTATATTATTTATTTAGACTGATATTTTTTAAAGAGGAAGCTCGAGAGGCCGACGAAAGATCGAAGGAATCGAAATTAATAATCGATCTCTCGTGTAACACGCGAGTCTTGGAACTTTGCTCCAACTAATCTCTCTCTCTCTCTATATATATATATATACATATACGCGCTCTCTAATACATTTATAGACCAAGGATAAAAGAAATCGAGCGCTATCGCGATCCATCGTCATCGTGCATGGATGCAGCAGAGCGTGAAAAGCGGTAGGCGAGATCGCGCTATCGCGTTGTACGGAGGCGCAAAGGTCGTCGTCGTCGTCGTCGTCGTCGACGAGAAAAGAATATGGTAACTATATAGTCTCTCTCAAGTGCGTTGAGATTCATAATATGCACCGCGCATACAAGGTGTCCCATCCGATAGATTTTTTATATTTATATTTTATTTTTTTTTATTATATTTATAATTTTCTAGAATTATAATCCTCGCGTGTTAAATCAAACTATATATATAATATATATATATAGTCTTTTTATATTATTTTTTATATTTATAGATTTAGTTGACCATTTTTTTAATCAATACTTTTTATTTCCGTCTCACACACGTGCGTTTAATATCGATCATCTGTCAGACTCAAACTCTCGGCTCCTAAATTGCGAATTTTTTGAAAAATGCTAAAGGGAAAGAAAAAAAAGAGAAAAATGGCGCGCGAAGCCCGAGGCTGAAAAGGGCGGGAAAACGTCAGGGTGACGTTTGGAGGGAGACTGCGTCACGTCGTGCCATAAATTCGATCTAAAGCGCGCGCGTCCGAGCGCGCAGGACGCGCGACGCATCGGGGCCGAAGCGTCGTCGTCGTCGTCGTCGTCGTCGGGTTACGTCCACGTCCCCTTCCACTCAATCGCGCTTACGTAACGCGAGCGCGCGCGCGCGCGCACTCGCCCGCGTTTTTACACGAGAGCGTCTCGCTGCCTCCCGGAAGTGTCATCTCTCCGCAGTCGCCTCCCGAACTCTTTATTTTCCCCGAAAGCGGGACGAGTGGGAACAACGGCGCCCCCGGTGCGTCGGCTCGCTCCGCTCCTGTCAAACGAAGAGAGAGAGAGAGACTGCGCGCGCACGAGAAAGAGAGACGGGAGTTCCGCGCCGTAAATTGGAGAAGGACGCGACTAGAGAGGTGTCCGCACACAACACACCAACCACAACGAGTATCAACCAGCTGGTTGGCAAGGGAGCCGCGAGCAGTCGCCAGTGAGACGCGGCACCCCGCGTGTGTCACTTGTTCATTCACTCATCCGCTCGGTTCGTTCGTTCGTTCGTTCGTTCGTCCGTCCATCCTGTGCAACGTCGTACGTCGTCCGCGGGTATATATCCTCCTCCTCTTCTTCTTCACCACCTCTATATCTTCCTCAACCTATATATCCAGTTTGTTGCCATCGCCTCCTCGCGGGAAGGACAGGACGACGAGCGGATTCTGGTTCTGTCAATTTTGACAGCTATCTATATCTCGCGTCTATTCCGCGCCTGGCACCTCGTTCTCGGAGGTTGAGCTGGTCCCCTAACATCGTCTGCTGGTGCCTCCTACTTCCTCACGTTCCCTCACATCGTTCGTCTCTCTTTACCTTTCTGGCCTTCCTCTCCTTCTTCCTTCTCTTCCCCCACTTTTTCTTCCACCGATCAGTACAAGTGTGCACGGTGCGTGTTGTGTGTGTGCAATCTACACGTTCTCTCCCCTCGGTGTGTTGTGTGGCAGTGTGTGTGTCACGAGCGAAGCAAGATGGCCGCCGACTCAGGAATGGAGACGTGTCCCTCCCCGGAGATTGCGGACTCCAGGAAGCGGCCGCTCGACTGCGACGCGGAAAACGGCGCCACCAAGAGGTCGCACTACGGATCAGGTATTTTCGTCGGAGGTGTCGCCCGCCGGGCGCGTCATCCCTGAGAATTCCCGATCTTCCTACGTCATCATCGTTCTCTCTCTCTCTCTCTCTCTTTCTCTCTCCCTCACGCACACATCCTCATATATATATATAAGCGTCCATCTTCCTCCAGCTCCCTCTCTCTCTACCCCGCTCGCTCTCTCTCTCGCTCTGTCTTTCGCGCGCGCCTTTGACAATCTCGCTCTGTTGACACGGCGCGGTCGCCGGGCCATTCCCTTTCGTTTCCCACTTCGTGGGGGCCTCGTCGACGGATCGCTTCGGCTCGGCGATCGCTACATGGCACCGCGCCTCGCCTCGCCTCGCGCATCCTCAGCTGTGCCACGTCTCCTCTTTTCCTCTTCTTTTTTCCTTCTCCTTCTAGCTGTCTCTCTTTTTCCGATCGCGCTCGTCTTCGACGATCCGGAGTCACGCGCGCGAAACGCGTCCGAGTTCGACGACTGGACCCGCGTTTGACGTCTTCCTCTCGTCTCTGTCTTTCTCTCTCTCTCTCTTTCTATCTTTCTATTAGTCTAGACTACGTGTGGGCGATCGCGCCTGTCGTGGAACGTCGACGTTAATGGAGGACCGCTTCCACGGCGGTGACTCTGCAAGTTTGTCGCGCGAACGTCGTCGTCGTCGTCGTGAAAAGAGCAGCGCCGCCAAGTCGTCTCTGTGCGTCGTCCGCGCTTGTACGTCGTCGTCGTCGTCGTCATCGTCATCATCGTCGAGAAGTCGCCGAAGACGACGTAGTCACGCGCGCAGAACGACGGCGCCCGCTCTAGGATGTGGCGCATCGGTGAGTTGTCACGCACACGCACCTCGTCTCCTCCTCCTGCCCGCCCTCTCCTCGAGGTTGCGGGTCAAGGTCGCCGGGCCAAGCAGCGAGCGAGCGAGCGAGCAAGTCGAGCCGAGCCGAGCCGAGCCGAGGCTCGAGCCAGCGAGCGCGCTAGGGCTTCCATCTGTCAAACAGCTGTTTGCCTTCCGCAAACGTCAAACGTCAAACTTCACCCTTTCGGCACCCCGATCGCGCATCGATCTCGCTTCGACCTCTCCTCCGAGGTTTCTCCCCTTCCCCATTCCCTGCCTCCCCGGGGATCCCCCGAAGAGGGCGGACGTGGACCGCCAGGTCCACTTCCTCGGCCACGTCGAGCTGTCGTTTGACGTTTGTACTTTGGAGCGTTTTTTTTTTTTTTGCTCGTTTGGATCGTTTTCGGTTCTAATCTTGATCTCTTGATCCTGTATCTCGTCTTTTTTTTGGGCTCAACCCAGGTTAGTCATCGCTGCGATGACCGTGACCAAGTCAATTTTTGATGACATAATCGAGATTTGTTATGCGGAAGGAGGGAATAAAAAACCTGGTTCTATCGGAAATGAGGATTTTGAATTAGAAATTGGATCTTTCGGAATCTGAAATAATTGAATGTATTGATATTTAATCGTCTTCTTTCTTCGAGGAAATAATCAAGTTGGTATAATATAATATCTCGAACTGTTATCTCGCGAGGGAACTGACAGTCATTAATCAAGCGAATTAATTTCTGCAACTGGGCTTTTTCTTCGTTTCTTATTTACGCTCCATGCGTTTCTAATGATCGTGTGTCGTCATCGCTCGGTTAGCTAACTTCATCGACGTCAACTGCTTTCGATTTCCTAGAGTTTTCTTAATGGCCTTCGATCATGTTCGATTGCGTGTTCGCGGGCGTGAGCGAGATAAAAAAAGAATCATCTCTCTTCGGGACGTATGATTCGAGGAATATCAGTTGATTGTAGATTAAAAATTTCGATTCTCGATCTTTGATCGACAATTTTTTGATAAATTGTATGCTCACGTGATTAACGAGGCAATATGATGCTTCTCGAGTTACGTTAGTGTAACGTTACATTTGACAGTGTAAAATAAGAGGGCCAATTTTTCTTCAAATTGACCCAGTTTTCAGAAAAATTATTAACGTGTTTCTTTTTCATAGAATATATCCTCGTTTTTAATACTTTGAATCATTAATAGATTTTTTACACATTACTATTTTCTTCCATCAATAATTTCCTTAAATTTGATCATTAATTCATTATATTTTTTCAACAATTTTTTTTCTCTGTTTCTTCCATTTACATGAAGAATACAGATAATGTTCAGGAATTTATTCATTATATTTAATATAAATATTTAAAATTAATGTAAACGAAGGAAGCACATACTACTCAGATATTATTTTATCTATTTAGAAATTTTGCCTTGTAATTATACATGTTTATTTACATGTATTTTTACACACGTGTAAAAAATGATTAAGAAACAGAGAAAGAATTTATTGAAACTTATTAAAAAATTAACAATGAAATATAGGTGCAGAATGATTGAAAAAAGTATATTTTATTGATGGTTTGCTCTGATTTCAGGAGGAGATGGAACGTATCATCTTAAAGTATTGGTTCCCGGTGTGGCGGCCGGGGCCATTATTGGGAAAGGTGGAGACACAATTGCTCAACTTCAAAAGGATACAGGGGCAAGGGTGAAGATGTCTAAATCGCACGACTTCTATCCTGGTATGTATTTATACTGGTACACGCGTATTGCGTGATTCATTATTCAAGGGAATTATTTTATTTGCTTCGTTGTAGGAACTACCGAGAGGGTATGCCTGATCACTGGCACCGTAGACGCCATAATGGAAGTTATGGAGTTTATCATGGATAAAATTCGCGAGAAACCTGATCTTACCTCGAAAACTACAGTGGACTTTGACTCTGGTAAAGCCACTGCGGAGAGAGACAAGCAGGTATAAAGCTCAAACTTTTTTGTTTACGAGCAAAAGAATTTTTAATATCTCTATTTTCTTTTATGGACAAGATATTTTTTCAGAGAGAATTGTAAATTTATTATTACATTACTAATTTTTAATATTTCTCTCTCGTATAAAAATATTGTAATATTAAAGATAATTGCACAGATTTTAGAATATCTGTTGCATTTTCTTGACAGGATGTCTTTTAAAAATAGCACCAATTTGCTGTTATTATAATATTAATAATAATTCTCTTTATAAAAAAAACATGATAACAATGAGTCATAAAAACATGATAACAATTTTAATGACAATGAGTCATAGAGAATATAGTTGTTAAATTTATACCAGATAAAATTATTTGTCTCTGATAATTGAGCTTGTGATTTCGCTTATGCAAACTTTCTATGTGCCAAAACTGCTATTTCAGGTCAAAATTTTAGTACCTAATAGCACCGCGGGAATGATAATAGGAAAAGCCGGGAATTACATTAAGCAAATTAAGGAAGAATCCGGCTCGTACGTCCAAATAAGTCAGAAGGCTAAAGATCTGTCTCTGCAAGAGCGATGTATAACGGTGATCGGTGAGAAAGAGAATAATCACAGGGCGTTACATATGATCTTAGCGAAAGTAGCGGATGATCCGCAAAGCGGTACCTGTCTTAATGTCAGCTATGCGGACGTAAGTGGCCCAGTTGCCAACTATAATCCAACAGGCAGTCCTTACGCTCAAGCTCCCACAAGCACTCCCACGTATACATCTACACCTGGTCTCAATACAGGTTAGTGTTTAGCAAGTTTTATAATGCTTATAGGATTGCGATGCAACTATTTTTATTATCCTATTATCATAAGATTATATAATAATATTTATAGTAACAATATATATCCATTGTTGCAAGTTTCTAAATACGCGTTTCTTTCCCTTAAACTTTATTATTAATTAACTGGATGTGGGAAGAACTCTGAATTAAATAAAGAAAATTAATGTCTTTAGAGTACAAGAGAAATTGTGTCTCGTAATAAATTTCTTTTTAGGCTCCTGGCTCCTCGCCGACCATGTTGTGAAATTGTGATGTCGAAAGCGAGAGAGTACCTTTTCATGAAAAAAATGGCATCTAAGAATTTTCAGCGCCTGCTTTCTCGTCTCTGACGTCATAATCGTAACACATTTGGTCACGGCGAGGATCCAGGAGCTTTAAACTCGGATGGCGTCTCATCGTTCTCATGATTAATCAGTGTCACAATGTGATTAATCGTTGATTGTTTTGTGTTTAGTGAGTCTGTTGAACGGTGCTGGTTTGAGTCTTAACTTGAATCTGGGCGCGGCCATTACAGCGGGCACGGCGCCGGTGACGACGCAGCTGTTGGAACATATAAAACTGAATCTACGTACGACAGGTTTCTCCGAGCCGGCGGCAACGGAGATACTCGCCGCGATCGCGACTCTCGCCAAGTACAACATCCTCGGGATGGGGATAGGAATGCCGTCGAGTATGAGCTACCTGGGCAATCCGATGGACAGCACGACGACCGCGAATGGGTCGAACAACAACGGCGGCGTGTTCGGGCCGATCGGGACCGTGCCTGCCCTCGGATCGACCTCACCGACGCCGCGCAATGCCCTTGATCGATACGAGTCGTTCGATCAAGGGTTGTTCCGACAGAACAACACCGCCGCCAGCGCGATACATCTGAACAACAATTCGTTTGGCCTGGGCACTAACCAGTTACCACTTGTAAGTAAGAGTCCTACACAGGTAGACGTCAACAACAAGGAGACCAAGAAAGTAGACATAGAAATTGCAGAGGTTATAGTGGGAGCTATTCTGGGACCCGGTGGTCGTGCCCTCATTGAGATTCAGCACCTAAGTGGCGCCAACATACAAATCTCTAAGAAGGGCATGTTCGCCCCTGGTACCAGGAACCGCATAGTGACTATCACGGGTTATCCCAATGCGATCAACACTGCTCAATACTTGATCGAGCAGAGGATCAGTGAAGAGGAGGCGAAGCGAGCACGTCAGAATGCCATCGCCAGTATGATACATTGATTTCAAGTACAGCACTCCTCTTGTTCATCCCCATTATTGAGCTCCGTTGTTCACCTCTTCACACCCTGAGAAGATGGAACGTGCCCGCGAACACGGCGCGCGATTCTCTTCTCTCCTCTATATACTTTTGACATATATATAATATATATATATATATACACATATATATTTCGTCCAACATCGCCAATCTACCGCCCGTTGTCATCTATCGCGCTGCGTTGTCACTATAGCGCTTGCATTGTCGTATCACTTACGTTCGTACATCCATCATGGCTCGTCAACACATTTATCTCTATCTTTTAAGATTATATTATGACATATATATATATATACATATTTGAAATTATGTATGTTGAATGCTATATATATACATATATTTACATATATTTATATGTATATATATATCTACTATATATATATATAAAACTACTACGATTGTTCTGTGATACACCACATTACGGAGCTTTATCACACACGACACGCGCGTATCGCATCAGAATTGCCACGAATAACTAGTTGTTATTGTGTATAGCATATTACCGAGTTGAGGTAATCTACACGATGTAATTGTTATCGATTCAGAAAGATTCGATTACGGCATCCCCTTAGCCACACACACAATTGTTCACACCAACCACTCTATACACTGACAAATTACTACTACACACTTGGAAAAGATACAGCTTCTTCTTTCGGTAGAAACAGAAACACTTTTCTGCCCGGATTAATATTGCGAATGCATCCTCTAGATTTTTATGGGACAATTTCACCATAAATAATGATCCAGCTCATACAGAACTCAACGTCAAAAAATAAAAACGGCAATGAATCAGTCAATGAATGGATCGATCGTCGATTCAGTCAACTGAGAGAAAATGTTGAGACTTAGAGTTTAAACGTGATCAACATTCTGAATTGTCTTTCGAGATGGAAAATACTTAGACTAACAGACTCTTCCCGCTATTTTTTGCAAAATACGTTATTTATTTATTTCGTTCACTGCGCGAGTACACGAGAGTAATATCTTGGCAAAACCAAAGAGTTTATATATACACGGGATGTTTCGGAAAAAGGAAGGAGTACAAATTCTCGGAGCCTTCAAATTTTGGGCCCTGAAACTTTGTAGGAACTTTTCCCGAAACTCGTGTATAACGCAGAAATATATATATATATCTGGAAGTTTAATATATACATAATATATAAATATATATCTATCCAAAGTGAGAGCTATTCTATATATATATAAACATATATTTATATATTTACAATGCCGCTGGCTGGTCCAGCTAAATAAATAACGGATATAACACTCCTTATTGCCAAGTTATATTCTTAATTCCAAAGCGTTTATTAAGTCTCCATCTCTGAACGAACCTCTCTCTCATCTAACTTTTCATCTAAGTTTCCTAGCGTTTAGAGTAATAAATATATATATATATATATATATATATATATATATATATATATATATATACAAAACTAGATTTAACTTTAAACTCGTTGTTACTTTTATATTTCTAAGAGAGATGGAAAAATCTATATTTTTACGCTTTAGCACTCGTTTATTAAGATATATATAATACCTTTTTTGCACATCATTTTAGAGAGATTGTATTCTCGAATATTATATATTTAATATATATATTTACGCGCGCGTGCGCAATTGTTCCATTATGTTTACAACTTTTAGTCTAATTATTTCCTCTTCTAAGGCGATCGTCAGTTGACTACGATTCAGATCTATTAATATTTTGCCCTGGTGTGTTTACTTTAGTCTCATTTAATCGGACTGGACTATTGAAATTTATTATGTGCCTTTTGGAGGGAAAAGTAGAATCTATATTGGCGTTATTTGCTTTCTTAAAAATGACAGACGCTCGTCCGGCACCTTTCGGAAGTCTTTTATTTAGTGTGCGAGCTATTTTTCCTCTCGTCGCGCGCGAGAGACTTTTTATCGATGCAGATTCGTGTATTTTAAAGTGATCCAGCAGAGATTCATCGATATCGTAAACGTATACGAGAAATCTCTCGAATTTGTTGCTCGTTTTAATCGTTACTTTGGACAATCTCTGGATTATTTAGCCAAGTCGCGTAATTTTTGAGTTCTGTATGGAACGTGAGGAAAAAACGGAGCGGACTTTTCGAATGGAAAATCACTGTTCATGTCAGCCAAACGGAAAGGGTTTTCTTGAAGCTTTGAAACCGGAAGCGAGTAGGTTTGTCGAACGATAGAGGATTGATTTAAACATTTTTCAGACAAATCTGTCGCGCTTTCTGTAGTTGATCGGAGGAAGGGATATCCGCTACGAGAGTAGGGAAGATTTTTATAATCATTCTTTCTTTTTTGAGGGTAGATAAATAGAGAGGAAGGGGTGATATGAGCTAGGTAGTAATCAATAATGGGTGTAGTTAAAATGATGATTATATCGAAATGTTAGCTATATGTATACATATATACGCATGTATATATATGTAAATATAGAGCTAGCGTTTAAATGAAATATATAACTGTACTTGAGTACAATTCATAAATGGAGGCACTGGCCCACCGCTCTTTAAACAATGACTTGTATATTTATAAATATCACATAACAGGAATGATAATGATAATATATTATGCAAAGAGAAAGATATAATATATATATATGTATATATACATACACACACTCATACATGCATATATACATTCGGATATATGTATATATGTACCTACGTATGTATGTATTATATACAGCGAGAGAGATAGAGAGAGCGATGCATTAGATTATTACAAAAAGAGAAATCACGTTTAAATAAATTAAAATAAAAATGACGTATATATGTATATATATATAAAAAAAAATATATATATATATAAATATATAATATATATAATATACAGAAAATATTATATAGATATATATAAAAGAACGTGGAAAAATATGAGAGTATATTATAAAAAAATTGTTGACAAAATATTTGCGTCCGCAAAGGGGAGAGAACAGATTTATGTTTATCCATAAATTCTATGTGAACTCTATTATCAATTAAACTTCACTGTGTTGCCCAAATAGAATTGAAAAGTCACCGAGAATAATGAGAAATAATTAACTAGGTTGCTGTAGATAGAACGATTCTAAAGATTTTAAGAGAGCATATATATAAATGTAACTTATATAGGCATTAATTTAATTTATGGATTAGTGTGTTCTGATGGCCTTCGTGCTATTAAACGCTATAACGGCAGCATAATATATTTCATTACATATTGATTAATATAAAGAAAAAAAAAGAATAATATATATATATACACAAGTCTCTATATTCGTCATTCTCTCCGAAGTCATCACATTAGAGCTAATATTAATTTGCTACCGCTGTGATTCTCTCATCGTGCTACAGATTTTTCCATCATAGTTGGCTAGATCAAGCATTCTCTGGTCGAGAGATGCTGAATTTGTCGCGCGACACGAGACGAGCGTATAAAGGGGGAAAAAAAAGCATTTTTGTCATTCGAATTTGCCATTAGTCCCGTTTATACACAAACACACACGCATACAAGTACACGCATACATACAATTTTACATTGCCACTGCTACAAATATGTACGTTACCTATTAGATTTAATATTATTTATTCGTGTTTTATATTCACGATTCTCAGTGTTATTTAATCGTGTCTAATATTTATTCCGCGTTTCTCTTCGACAGAAACGTCGCATTATGCATATACGAAATTATCATCGATTGAGAATCTTCATTTTATATTCTCCACGTTGTTAAAGTTGTGAAAGAGAGAGTGAGAGAGAGAAAGAGAGAGGGAGAGATAGATTTTGTATAGAGAATTTGTATAGAGTCTCAACTTGATTGTAACGCGAATGTGAACAAGATAGTTGGACGATAAACTCTTGAACCCGAAAGCTCTCGCTTACATCTCAATTCGCTCCCGCTTTTGCTTCTCTATTTTACATCCAAACGTCTCCAAGAGATGCGATTACTTTACATTTATTTTCGTCTCCGAACCTATTCACTCTGTCGTTATTATACATATTCGCAAATAGCCATGCTGTTGACACAAGAAATTGAAAGAAACAATCTTGCACGTCCCTCGGGACGTCTCCATCTTCGTTAGCGCAGAATAAAGCGACTAATTTTGTGATATGCAATCGCCTGTTGGTACAAATAAACACACACAAGTTATGACGTACATGTTTGTAGATAGATGCAATATTTATCCGAAAACGAGAAGGAGGAGGACGGAAAAAAAAACAACTTGTAGGTAGCAGTTCAGTCGTTAAATTATAGGAATATAATAGGGTTCTCTCTAATACTAAACATTCCGTAGTAGAGCAGATTACGATATAATAAGACTAGCTGTGATGGAGCCGAGAAAAAAAGAGAGTGTGCAAATACTATATATCTATATATATTTATCAGCCGCCAGAGTACGCGAAAAAAAAGATGTCGAAAAACGCGTGAACGAACCATGTATGTACGTTGATATAGAATGTAAAATTGTAGAATTTATTTGCGCAGGTAAAGTAAAGCGCATGCGACCGCAAAGTTCGGCCAAGACGAGGGAGAGATCAAGGGAGGAAAAAGGACAGCTTCTCGTCAAGCAGGGCGCACGAAAAATAAAGTTAACACATACACACATACACACACACACACACACATATACACACATAGAGTTGTTAAGTCCGTATATGTTTGTTTTTTTCGATGACGACGAGAGAGATTCAGGACCCTTTGTAAATGTGAAATGCGTTAAACGCGCGCAAGACAAATCTCCATATGCGATATATACTCCGGGTAAGAAAAATCAAACGAGAAACACGCAAAAAAAAAGAAAAAAAACATGGATTATAGAGGCCATAGCGCGATCAGCCAGTCTAACAATAAGTATTCTCCTTATAGTGTAATGTTGATTTGTAAAGAGTATATACCGCCTGTTATAACGTTTTAGTGATCGTATATGATTCTTGTAGAGAGTTTGCGGCGTAGAAAGTGTTATTTTAAATATCAAAGGTGTCTCTCTTCGAAATACGCTTATCCGATACAGCGAAAAACATCTTCTCGGTTAACAACAAAGTGCTAAGTATATAATATATATATATATATTTTTTTTTTTTTTTTACGATTCGGGATTAAGGGGGAAAAAGTTAACGGAGTAAGAGTATTCTAAGACACATTTCTGAGAAGAGAAGAGACTATTGACGAACCCGCTCTGTAAAATTAAGATTAAGATTGTCATTCCTCATACTCGTGGTATCTCGAAGACGTACACCCTTGTCACTATATTAAAATAACACTTTCGTTAATAAACTTTCCTGGTGTCGTTCAACGACTCATGTGCGTGTACATGCATTAGTACGTGTATATATATATACATACATATATCTATCTTCAACGTATTACGTAATAATACTGAGATATATAACGGTGGCATCAACAATTCCGGGTGCGAAGTTGTGCGAATCAACATTTCGAGTGGAGATCACCTTGTCGCTAAATATTAAATGACGATGATCGACGTGTCTCTCGCAATATATCGAATGTATATTATAGTAGAATGTTATATTGGCGACAGGATTATCGATTACAATGTGTGCAATGATGTTGATTCGCGCAAGGGATCTCTTCTCACCCTTTCCGATCGCGATCAAACGCTGTTTCCTTCAATTTCTCTCTCAGAATTCGGTTGTCATTGAAGAAAAATTATGGAATTTTTTTTTTTTTTTTTTGTGAGAGATTGGCGTATAAATATTCTCTCCGGAGAGGAGGGCAACTCCGCAGGATCGAATCGGAAAGGGACGAAGGTGTGTCGTGGCGTCGAGGATTTTCCAAGAGGAACGACGACGATGCATCCGCGCACGAAGTGGCAAAGCAGTATTGATCGGCCAGTCAATGTTACCTACGAGTTGTTTAACGCGAGAGGACATGCATACCGTTTTGCAATAGACCCCATCAGACATTCGTCATCGAAACCCCAATTTCCCACCCAGCCCTTTCCACCTCCTTGCTAGAAGAATCTTTTATTTTTTCATACAGCGCTTTGTTTTGTACAGTTTAAGATATATTTCTTCGTTTCTACTCGCCAAGAGAACCCGCGGTGCGTCGTCAGTCGATATAGGACAGTTAGGCGCATAGACGTGTGTAGCTAGTTTCTTAAATCTCTTACGAAATATTAATATAACAAATTATAAAGAGCATAAACGATGAGAGATGCGAGCCTGTCCGAGACGAAAGAGAGATGATTATAATGATTCTACGTATATGTAAATATATATATACGTGTAAAATTCTTTCGCACGAAGATACTAGAGGACAGAGGAAGAAAGAGAGAAGGTTGAGTTACGTACAACTCTTATAGGAAAGAATGGAAGAAAGAGAAAATCCGCGAGGAAGAGAGGTGTAGCGTAGTAATCAGGGAACTGTAGGAATTGCATTGACTCGCCTCAATTCTAATTACGACTATTATTAACAGTAACTATATTAAATGAATCTTCGACACTCCGTCGCCGCGCGATTAAAGGGTGACTTCGCGTGTCACGTTACTTGGCTGTGTGTGCTAGGCTACATCGTAAAGATCATGTTCCACATCGTACTTTCTCTCATTAATCGCATTGATCCTCCATTTTAAGATCCGACGATACGTGAAGACAAAAGGGAAAAAAAAGAAGGAGAGAAAACAGGAGAGCAAAAAAGAGGCAGAAAGTGATATTCGAAAATCGCGTTTTATGCCAAGAGAGTTTAAAATAATAATAATAATGGTAATATTAATCTGCTGCATGTCACTCCACATCCTTTAGTGCCATATCGAACTTTTCCTCCCCCTTTTCTCCCCCTCCCCCTCCTCTCTTTCCAATTCATCAGCCACCACACTTGTTAACGTTTGACAGTAGAACGTGTTGTTAAAGATGTGTATATCCTGCACGCGACAGGCAGGCCGTTTTCAATTAAGAGTCGGACATTTATTTCCCATTAATACGCTAAATATATATATATAATATATATCGTTATATGGAGTATATATATTTTACGAGATATATCTTTGTATACTCCTATTATATTCTTAGTTTACGGTAAAACGGGGACTCTCTCGCAGCCAGGAATATTGCGAGGATGGAAAGAAGGATTTGATAGACGCTGATTATTGCAAATCGAAAGAGAGCGAGAGAGATGTTATTTATAATTGACACTTTAATTTCGGATATTGTCGCACGTGCTTGCGTTTCCCAACTCTTTTTCTTTCACACGCGTGTGTCTTGTTCCACAGTTTGTCTTACACGATCGACGATAATAATTAAAAAGAAATCGGAGATGCAACAATTTCTGAAGGAATATTTCCGCACGGTTTGATCCGATTGAAATTAATCGTCGCGAATAATTAAAAAAAAATTATTATTAAAGTCAATAAATTTAATAATATTGCGGGAGTATTTTTTTTTTTTTTTTTTTTTTTTTCTTTTTAGAAATTATATCGGCGAAAAGAATTTATATCAAAGCTGTATCGTATCGAGAGGCGAATCGAGGGCCTAATGGATCGATGAACAACAATTAAAAAAAAAGAAAATATATAATATATATTAAAATTATTGTTTCAGAAAGAATGTTGCATTTGTCTCTATATATATTAAGAGTTTTACTTATCTATACTTGTTAGTTTACTGCCACTTTTTTGCAATCGTTCGCTATAATCAAATGTTTAAATAATAGGGCGAATTCGCCAAGATAGCCAAGGAAATCAATGTAAAACGTAATATATATATATATATATTACGCTATATAAGGACATGTTACACTAATAAGATATATCGTTATATAGAGAACGTCGCAAAGATTAAAAAAAAAAGAAGAAAAAATTATTTATTGCATCGTGTATCGCATCGATTGACAATAGCGGAGGCGAAGTTTTATTATATACATGTGGTACAAAAGATATACAGATATTATCGAGGATTGCAGCACTAAATTATTCGATTAGCCGCGACATGAGATATATATATATATATATATATATATATATATATATATATATATAATATATATATATATATATATAAATATATATATATATATATATATATATATATCTATATATAATATATATCTATATATATATATATATATAATATATATATATATATATATATATATATTTCCCATATCAAGATTTTCGTTTAATGTAGTTTCTCAGCATCATTCTCATAAAATAGCGCGAAAAGGCCATCTAATCGAGAGGAAGAAAGACAGAGAGAGATAGAGAAGGATCAAATCAACTAAAAAATAAAAATAATGTATCGAAACGCACATAACGAGGCGACGTTACGTGTGTCTGAACAGCTAGAACACACATGAAACACATTCGTTACAAAATACATTAAGAGGGTTGTACAAAAATTGTATGTAATGTTATTTTATCGGAAGTGAGAATATTATAATAGAGTTAGGCTGTTAATATGGTATATTATTTTGGGTAAGAGCGTATAACGTATAAGAAAGAGAGAAGAAATATGAAAAAAAAAATTACACACACATACAGGAGACGTGAGAGAGATGATCGTTGTTGTTGAGAAGTAGAAGTAGTACATAGCAGCTCGGGGATTTAAAAAAAAGGAGAATATTAAAAAATAATACAATATAAAGTAGCGAGACAGGGAGAGGAAGGAAGAGAGAAAGGAAACTATCGAGTACCTTGTTGAGTATAAGTAGTATATTGCTATATAAGTCGCAAAATGCACGTGGGTGCGCGTGTTTTCTCATCCCACACAATCATTCGCATACATACATACATACAATACACACATACACACATTGTACGACGTCAAAATTGCATGCCTACACATGAATAGATCCTGCAGACAAAATGCAACAGAGAGAGAACGCGTGTTTGCGCTTCACTTTCGCGATGATAAGTCTTTTTCATACGTCTTAGGACGTACTTGGCGAATTATTAGACCGACAGAAAGAAAGAGAGAGAGAATAGTTATCTTCCATATATGATATAATATATATATATATATACATACATATATATATAATCGAGATATATATGAGAGCGAGAGAAAAAGAAAGAGAGAGAGCAGCTGGCTGCGAAAAGGTACCATAGAGATTTTCTTCGTCTCGCACTGATGATGAAATCACACGATCAAGAGTATTGTACCTTACATTCCTTCGGCTATAAAATAATTTAAGGACACACATCAGACACACACACACACATATATGCGACACAGTGCGTTTTTTTCTCATCATCATATGCGTTTTACCGAGTTTCGAGCGAATTATTATATCACACACATGATTAGACGAAAGGAAAAAAAAAGAGAGAATCCGCATTACATCGTTATACATTTTATGCTGTAATTGTGTATGTACACACGGTTCGGTTTCTTTTCCTTATATCTCGAACACAACACGAGAATGACAGTGCATTACGAGTAATGGGCAAAATTGCGTATTTTTTAATATTCCGAGGCGTCTCGCCTCCGCGAAGAGAGAGGGAGAGTGAAAAAAAATACAGGAAAAAAAGGGTATTGCGATATAATCGACTCCTTAGACAGAGGGAGAGAGCTATAAGATTATCGTCGATATTTACGCTAAGTTAGTGGTAAAAAAAAGTAGTCGTAACTCGTCGGAAATATCGGATATTTAGGCAAATAAGGATTCGAGGAAACAAAGCGAATACACAAGCGAAAGGATTGTAATATTATCATTCAGATAATAGGAAAATTATCCGCGGTATCGTCGATCTTGGTTTTGTATCATTATATCATCCCAAATAGCGAACTGACGTCATCGAACGTCATTTGACGTCAACTTGACGTGCGCTTGCTATCTGGGACATCTGACGGAAAATTGGCAAAAGACAAGATGTACATAATATATCTTACATAAAATATTATTATAATTGAAAAATTATGATGTTAAGAGACGCTGTTGATTAAAAGGATGATATATTTAATTTCTATGCGAGAAAGTGAATTGCGAAATAATCAAATTTCTTCTTTTCGCAATTTTTGGATAATAATGCTCCAATGATCGACGAAACCGTGGATGATCGCGCGAAATCTATATCTCGGAGAGATATAATAATTTAAAAAAAAAACGGCAAAGAGCTACGTGTGTAAGGGACTATATTACGCGACGGTGAAAAAGAAAAAAAAAGACACGGCGAACCGGAAACGCAATTTTGTCAAATGAAGTCGACTAAGAGGGGAAATTCCAGTAAAGACTCTCGTAAAGGTTTACACAGAGAAATTCTCTATTTATTGATTATTATCGACCGCGAGGAAAAAAGCGACGATATATAATTTTCCTTTTGCACTTTCGCGCTCTCGACGACGAAGTTTAATTAATGAATAAATTAATTGCTCTTGGATCCCGACGTGACCTCTCTTTTTAACGTGGGCACCACTATATTATTGTTATCGCGAATGAAGTTATATATATATATATATATATATATATATATATATATATATATATATAATTTAGTTCACACACGAGCATTCTTTCCGAAAAAAGGGCTAATCTTTATATAATATTATTACTTTACACTCTAACCACATTTATTTGCATCCATAAATTGTTATTCTTTCATCATCTCTCAATTTATCTCCATTCAATGTTGAATAATTATATAAAAGTAAAAAGAAGCAAACAAAACAAACATAATATATTAACTATTTTCACTCATTGAGAAGCATCGTTACCTGTATGACAAGTGACCATAATAAGAGCATAATAAACAATCGCTCATTAAATGCATTCTGTTGTTCTTCATTTCATGACCTGGCCACCGTCCATACATCCATCCATTTGTCCATTCAGTGTCGCAGTATGATCATATCATACGCGTTTTTAATCATCGTCTCTCTCTTCATTCACCAAAAAGAAAAAGAGAACCAAAATTAATCTCCCGGTGAAATATTTGTCGGTAAAAAACACGCTCTGTCCCTTCTGTTCTCGATCGAAATCACGAAAGCGACGATTGTAATTTTGTGGACATTTGGAAGGTTTATGATGAATTACCTGTGAAAGACAGCCTTCCAAATTTCGACAAAAAATAAATAAAAAAAAGAAGAAAACATCCCAAAACGGTACAGACGAGAAAATCGCGCGCGTAGTATTTATATTAATTACATAATTAAGAATAATGTGTTTTTCATCTTCTTAATAAAGTGCAGATTTTTTAAAAATAATTCTTGTGTCTCTCGCGGTGAGAAAAATATTACGTAACGCGATATAATCGCAACTGTACCGTTTTGGAGGTTGTATAACAAAGCAGCGTTTTCGAGATGTATACAGTATTCGTGGCAATAATATTCGAGTGAGACGCGATTTATAATGCGTTTAAATACGGCCGATTCCAAGGTTCGGGACATAGGTCGAAATCAACAAATGTCAATAAAGTTTGTGATGTAAGGTATATACACAGGCGCCATTGTTTCACGATTTTTATATTAAAATATTCGAATATATATACATATTTGTATCTTCTTATATATATATATATATATATATATATATATAATTATTAAATATATAAATATATATATATATATATATATATAATTTATATATATAAATATATATATAAATATAAACATATATATATATAAATATAAACATATATATATATATATATATATATATGTGTGTGTGTGTATCTTATTAAGCACATCGTAATTAATTATGGATACACATACGAATCTTTTTTCCTTTTTTTTCTCGTTTTACATTCCATTAAGTGTACAATTTCGAGCGTACGAGAGACGCAAAGAGTCTCTTCAACTAGTCAGTAAAGAAAATGAAGGATTGTATTTTTTTTATACGACGAATTGTTTGTAAATAAGAAAGAGAAAGGAGAAGGTGATATATATCAACGGGCAGAGCACCGACGATCGAGTGATATACGGTTTATTTCGAACGATCTTATTATCGAGCTTTTGATAAAAGAGAAAGATATGTAATGTAAACTCTAAAGAAGTAAATAAGAATTTTTAAATAAGAAGTTTGTAAATAAGAAAGAGAAAGGAGAAGATGATATATATCAACGGGCAGAGCACCGACGATCGAGTGATATACGGTTTATTTCGAACGATCTTATTATCGAGCTTTTGATAAAAGAGAAAGATATGTAATGTAAACTCTAAAGAAGTAACAAATAAAAAACTATTTTTGTACAGATAATCATAATCAGTCCCGACAGTTTATTTCGAGCTCTTGCACGCTCTTCGTATATTATATGGCAAAATATATCGTGAATTATATACGTCCGCTTCGTATGCGATTTCATTTGAAGAAAATAATCTTTTTTTAAGAAAACGAGAAAAAATCAGTGTTCGATGCAGATTTTATTGGTAAGTCAGATAAATATCTATTTAGCGCTAATTACATTTTGACAGGATTGGGTAATAACTAGTTAATTAGTTAAAAGTCAAAAAGTTTATAACTTTTAACTTAGTTCATTTAAAATGTATTAATTTTTAACTTCAACTAGTTATTTTTAATCCTAAACTTATCAACTTAGATAAATTTTTGTTATCTCTGAATATTATTATTTTTTTATAAGTTATAAACATATTATTTTTAAATTAAAGTATTATTAATTTTTATGCTCATTTGTCATCAATTGTAATTACCAAAAAAATATATTTCTATATAAAAATCAAAATTTCTTTGTTATTTGTGATCATAAATTTTAAAGGAATTAACAAACAAAATTCTAATTTAATATAAACAATGTTTTTGAAGATTAACTTTTGATTTAACTTCAGTTCATTTAATCTTAACTTTAACCGAGTTAATTTTTTGTTCATGCAACTTTCAACTTGGCTAAATTAATTTTATAGGCAACTAACTCTTAGTTTTAAAAAATCATTATTTATCCAACCCTGCATTTCGGGTACTTCCCATTCAGAATATTCCTTCAAGATAAAGGAATGTCCATCCAGGTACTGGAGCCTACATCAAGGTGTATGAATGACGTCATTAAACGTCAAAATGACGTTTCTTTTTCATTTTCTGTGCTCAAACTCGTTTACTTCTCTATTTTTTATTTTACATATTGTAGGCGAGAGATGGATTCTTTTCTTTTTAGAAAGGATAATCTTCTCGATCGGGAGATTGTATTGTATAGTCAGGATAGATCAAGTCTGAATATTTATTCCAACGTTAAGCATGTATATGTACACTATTATTGCGAAACTTATACGTCTTCAAGTCGTGCCGTGAACGATTTCAATCCTTCCGAGCTGGGTGTTCCAATTTCGCCGTCCGTTCCGAATTAAAGAGAAGAAGTATCTTTTCGGATGTTTAAGAGAAGATCTGACTCAAGATGTTTAAGCTGGAGAGAACCTCGCGATTCCCAAAAGTCGGCATATATATATACCCGGCGTTAAAAACCTTCCCACCCGAAATATCGGACCAATCAGCGTTACCTTCGTTTATCGAACAGAGATGTGTTTTTGGTTTCTCCGATAGACAAAAGGATCGTTCAGAACGCTCTCGAAAATAAATAATACCTGATACGAGGTCGACAAACAAAACACGGAGATCAGATAATCTCTTTGTCAAACAAAGTTTCTCTACCTCTCTTATGAGAGTTTATAAAAAATGCCCACAATATTTAATAAAGCCTTTTTACATTTTTGTCAGATATTTTTTATCAATAAAATTTTAATCATAATAAAAAAATTATATTCGAGTCTTGAGCGAAAAAAAGACCCAGGTAGCAAGCTGACGTCATATTAAACGTCAAAATGACGTCATTTTGACGTCGATGACGTCAGCTTGCTATCTGGGGACATTTAAATAATTGTTCTACGTTGTATAATAAAGAATAATTTAGGATTGTGAAAAATGTGCTCGCAAAAATGTTCGCGACAAACAGAAGAAACGTCGAGAGGTAATCATTAGCGTTTATATATATTTTGTAGATCTTTCGTTTACATCAAAGCTCGCTCGTAGTAAAAAATATGCCACTACAGACAAACGTAGCTTTTTATTCGGCTATAAATGACGGTACAATTACGAAATGCACTTACTTTGTTTTTTGATCTTTTCGTCTCGCGACTCTACCACGAATGTAATTATACATACACTATTGACACAGAATCGTTTATTTTTTTTATTCGCTATATAAGCAGTGTGCGAACATACATCATTACGTTTTTTTTTCTCGCTTACAAAATATCTACTCGTACTTTTCCTCAAGTAAGTGTCGAAAAGATCGACGCTGTCAGTCGCTACAATTAATTATTTATTGTACACGCTCTCATTTGCTCATCCTAATTAAATGACCTCGCACACATCATCCTTCCGCGTAAAAAATTACGTTCTACTAAGAATAGATTTAGAACCATTGTATGACAGGAGAAAATTACACGGTGCGTTTTATTATTGCCATATTATTCTCGGTCGGGTTACAAAGCGACGTGCAGTTTCGTAAGAGCGTTACAAAAGTCGAGCTCGCATTCTTCAATTGCGGAATTATAAAACGCTATATAATCAAAAATGCCTGGACGACGAGTGAGAAAAAAGAAGAGCGCAATTAAAACGATTATAAAAATTAATACAATTAAGATTCCGTTACTCTCTTGCAAAATGTGTGAGCAGAATGTCGCTTTTATATTTTATTTACGGATGACATGTCGGATAAAAAAGTTGACAGAATTTATCTGTAGCAAAAGAGATACAAAATAAAGATCAAATCACTGAAATCCCTTTTCTCTTTCGATATTTTTGAAAGATAAATATACAAGTGAAATGTCTGTAAATTTACTCTTCAGGAAGCAGTTGAGATATTTCAGAAATAAGGAAGACAGGACTGAACATTATAATATTCTAAGTAAATCAACTACAAATTCTCTATCTTTTTCTGAATTCCAGAGCTATTAAATATAATAAAGATGACAAAAGGGTATTCCTCGTTTAATCATAAAAGTCGATTTTACCTTACGAAATTGCAATCTTTTTCGAAACTAATTACCAAGATATATTTATATAATAATATATTTATAATATCGTATTATATATATATATATATATATATATATATATATATATATATGAGTTACCGCGATAATTACAAATAACACAGCTCGTTTTCGACAAAATGATTAACTTGTCCGCTTTTACGAGTTCGTGACTCGGGTACAAAAGTGCTTCGGGGGTCGAAAGTTCGATAAACAGGATCACATTCAGATGTAAGATTTCATCCGTTGCCCCCGTAATTAACGTCATCGTTCATTACGACGAGATCCTCTTAACTCAATCGCACATAACTCTCGAATCATCACATAATATGCAAATACAGGCGTTGTTATCAAAACGTAAGCAAACACTCATGGAGGTCTCAATCGATTTCGAGTACGCTTGTTTCGCCTCGGTGTACTGCGGATATTTGTAGAGCAAGTCTGTGGAAGGGGAATGTGTGTGGCTCGCGTACAAAGATTATATACATTATTATCTAATCACTCGGTCGATTAATATACGTTCTATGTGGAGCGTGTTTATGGACACGCGTATGTTCTTACTCGTCCTAAAGTACTGCGCGACATAGGACGACGTCTCACTGCAATTATCATCATGCAAGGTGTCCAAGAGTTAAATTTTGCCAGTGCATTTTATCAATAGAAATTAGACAACAATTTCGTGGGAACATAACAATGTTATCAGATAAAAAATATTTTTATCGGCTCTCAATATTAATAATAATATAAAATATGATATTTTAAATCGGCCAACAGAGCCAAAGCGCGAAAAATTAATTCTTCGGAACTGTATCTCTTGGTTTGAGATCACTAAGTTCCATATATAAATTAATCTCGAACTTACATATGGAGAAATATATAGGCGAGAAAAATATAGGTCCAAAAAGTCAACAAAGATATCAAAGATAACAATGTTATGTACAGAGATGTAGGAAATATAGACTTTGCGTACTGAACCAATGTTACGCTGAATATTAAACAATATTGGACAATGTTATATCCAGATAGATGTAGGAAATGTAGACTTTGCATATTGAACAAGCGCTACGCTAAAATTAGAAAAAGAGACAAAGTTTTGGGAAGTATGGTTTGCTCTGACAAATGCAAGAGCAGAGGAGGATTATAGATATTGCTTTCTTTTTCTAATTTTGACTAAAATTTCTGACAAAACATTAGATATGCGCAGTCTATATTTCCTACGTCTATGATTACATCAAATATTATACAAGAGTTAAGTTATCAAGAAGATTAACTAGTTTGCCACTTATTGAACTAAAAAAGACAGACATGTAAGACTTCACAAGATGTTAATTTTGATCTCTTAATATTAAACTTGTATTAAAAAATTGAGCGAATGAATTTCTTTTCAAGTAATGTGATTATAGTTTCCAGACACAATGTTGATATATTTTTTCTATCTATAGAATATACTGGTAAAACTTGATGGTTTAACTGAGAGACACCCTGTATATTTAATTCTTAATCTTCCCTAGCGGAAAATGTAAAGAGAATTATAGCTTTGTTATAAGATACTATATCTGCTATAAAAAAATAATTGTGAAGGCTGGAGGCTACAGCTGGAAGAAGTACTCGTCAAAGTCTCAAAAAGGCAGTTACAACGTGCGCGATATACGATTTTATGAAATTCCAAGTGCAAATGTAGTCGCGACGTTTGTAAAATCAGAAGAGAAGAAGAAGGATAACGCGGCAATAAGGAAGAATGCCAGGTGTAATTTGATTATCGGCCTTCAGAGATCGGTCCTGTTCGATATATCCACAGGACTTGACTTTTTCTTTTGACGTGCGAACGATACGTTTGTTTTTTTTTTATAAAATTTCTCGAAGGGCACACGAGGGCTATGTATAACGCAGCTTCACAATGAGAGCGATCCTATAAAAAACATTCGTGAAAAATATCGATATCTCTCTGTTTACATGCTCTGAACCCCGGGAAAACTATTTGTAAGAGCATAAATATACACTTTGATTCTGTCGACACACGTTTTCCTCTCATCGTTTGCGTTTGAAATCGTTCGCGATATTGTACTACGGCATTTCAATGGCACATTCTAATCTTCGCATCAACGTCACTTCGGTTCTGCAAACGTAATTCCAAAAATCACAGATTATCTAACTACAGTTACGTAGGAAGTTCATTTTTTTATGAATCTTAAAAAATACACGTGTTGAGACGTTTGGTACATTTCTGATGAAGAAATTGTTTAAATATAAAAATTATTTCGCAAAGTAAAAAAATATACCGTCATTTCGTCATAAAAAAAAAAATATAAAAATTGCTTTATTCGCATTTAATGCGAAAATTGCTTCGAAAACTTTAATTACTTTTCTAAAAAAATAAAGATAGAAAAGGCTATCGCTTTAATATAAATCTTATTAGGCTATTGCATATTAAATTATCTTGGAACGAGACAAAGTATAAGTCGATCAAATATTGGAATTATTGGATATTTCAATGTAAGTAGAAATAAAAACGAACAAATTTAATGTATTCTACGATGTTCTGGGATATTAAAGAAAATTATGTGATTTGTACTTTTTTCGTCGGTATTCTGGGAGATATTGAGCAGAGCGCATTCCCTTATTACACGTTTCCCTTCGAATATTTGATCATTTCGCATTATAAATTTATTCTTGTGTACTTCGTATATCGCGTAAATACGAGAGTCATTACTCTACATACCAGCGAAGATTTCAGGGTATTTTGCTAAAATTAGCATCCACTTTGTCTCTTACGCTACGCAAGCAAAAATTAAAAATAAAAAAATTATAATAAGTTTATAAAAAGTAAACTTTTGATTTTAAAACAGAACCTATTCTGGATAGGTCAATAATAATATACAACGCATAAAAATAAATTTCGATTGATCGTGTAAAATTGTATAAAAACGTAACAAAACTTAAAAAATAGGCCAATATTTCTTTCCTTTTTCTTGCAGTACAGAAATGGCGCGAGTCTATATGTTCTAAAAATGATATGAAATTAAAACCACTACTCGCTTTTGTTGTTGCTAACCATTTCGGTACTAATATGCAGTTCATAAGTGATAAAAGGTGCTATCATTATCGGACAATATTTTTAATGTACGTGGTATATAAAAATACCGTGTTATCGAAATATAATTTTTAATTTATTGACTGATAGTTAATCTTCTCATAATGATAAAATTCGCTCGCACGATCAAAGATACGCGCAATTAATTTTCATGACAAATTGTTATATATATATATATATATTTTTTTTATTTACTATCCTCTTTTTCTAGATTAAAATTTAATTTATGATATAGAAATTTGATAATCGAAATAATTGACGCAATTAAAATATGCAAAAAAAAAACGCACGAATAAATCTCGTGTCACCTTTTGTCACTATGAGACCACATAATATCGGACCACCTCTTTCCCTCCTAAAGAATTAGAAGAGGAAAAGGGTGGTCTGCCTCGCTTGCTACTTGGTCGCCTCAGGCGGACAGTCGGGCTGGTTATTGGGGTGAGCTGCAGTAAAGGCCGGATGATGTTCCAAATGGCGATCCACCCTGAGAATCGTGGGGAATGGTCTGAGATCGACGTGAAACCTTCGCGCGTTGAATATCTGTGGCACTAGGCAACAGTCCGCTAACGTAATCTCGTCACCAACGCAGTATTTGCCCGCACTCGACGATAACAACTTTTCCACAGCTGAAAAACAGCATTATCATATAGTAAACAGCATATATAAGGTGTGTCTGCTTAATTATATACAGGCAAACAAGTTGTCGCTATTTGATGCAATAAATCTCCCATTTTAAATATATATTCAGAGATGATGATATCTAATATTTTTTCCAACAATCTTATATGTGATATGCATTGATTATAATTGCAAATTCGTGGTCTTCAGTCTTATTACGAGTATATAAAGATAAAAATTAACTATTCTGAGATGCGAATCTTTATAGAAAACAGGGAAGCTGATGATTTATTGCAAATTCTGACTATGACTTATGGAGACTTAATCTGTTTTTTATACTTGTTTAATTATGTTTAAATACCTGTAAATCCTCTAGTGATCCAATGCTGCGCCCATTCTTTCTTCCGTTCCTCTCCAACGTAGATAAGAACAACAAGATTTTGCAATGGTTGTATACCACTGGCAATTACCTCACAAATCTCTCTTACTCTAGCTCTTTTGACAGGATCCGCTGGCATCAGTGGACGATTTGGCCTAGTCTCTTCCAAGTATTGCAGAATATTTAGCTATAATGAAGAGATTACTCATTATTATACATAAATAAGTTCCATATAAATTTTAGAAGAACAATCGTTATGTAATATGTAACCAAATATTACTTACAGACTCTATTAGTGTGTGATTGTCAATATGGAGCGAAGGCACCTGCTCCATTGGATTAATCTCGCGAAATTCATTGGAATGTTGTTCTCCGCCACTCTTTACCAGGCTCACAGGCTTTATGTCATATGGTATCTCCTTTAGATTCAATGCTATTGATAGATAAACCATTTTATTACAAACATATCATCTTGTAAGAGAAAAGCTGTCTGACAGCGCAAAAATGAGTGACTTTTAATTACATTATTTGAGACAAGTTTGTTACATAGAGACTTTAAGAGTGCAATTCAAAATGCAACTTTTAAATCTTATATGTATATTTTCTAATAAATCATAATATAGTTGATATTATAAATGAATATATCTAGTGTACATTTACATAAATGTATGTATGCAGCATAAAACTTATCATATCAAAGAGACTCGTACTCACCAATTCTTACCCTCCAAGAACATGAACTCCGCCAATAGGAGTAAAGTACGGGCTGTTGGAAGAAATGAAAAAGATGTGAATACATGAGAAAGTTCATCCGATCTCGACGATGTTTCGTGCTCGAGGTCGGTTGTAAAACCAGATTCGCGTGTTAGGGTAAAATTTGTGACAACCAGATGAAAAACGAGTTTGGAGTGTTAAAACGTGCATTTATTAAGAACGTTCATTCCAGCAGTTTTTGAAATAGAATGTTACTTTCGAGCTTATGAAAGCAAAGTTTTAACATAAAAGTTTCTAAAATCAAGATGCCCAAAAAAATGCATATTTTTTAAAGTTTTCTGTAAAATCACACAAAATTCATTATATATGAAAAAAATGTATATATTTTTATATTTTATTTTAAATGTTTAAATATTTTAAGAGCATAAGCTATATAAAATGCTCAATCAAATCTTGACAATTTCGCAGGGAAGCAAAATTCTGGCAAGAAATATTAACTCGCAGAATAATTTGTAATATATGTAAATAACATAGATGCAAAAAATATAAATAAATGTTAGAAAAATTAACATTCTCTTTTTCCGAGAAGCTTTTATTTTTTCTTTCAGAAATAAATGTGCTGTATAAAACAGTGTCAATGCCTCATATCGTTCTCGAAGTGTCAAACTGCATTGACATTTCGCAAGCTGTCATTTGCTCGCCGGCTGGAGAATCTCGAGTGAATTAATGCGCGCGCAATCTTCACTCACACAAACGCATTACACCCGACATTACAAGGTTACATTTGTCACCGAGAACGTTTCGGGATGCGGCTTCGCTGTTGAATACTCTCAAGATCAATATAGATTTGCGGAGCTGAGTTTTCCGCGTCCTCGCGACGCGAAAAGCCCATCAATTTTCGAGAACGAGCTTGTCCACCCGGTTAATTCGACGTACGCGAAGAAGGTTAAACAGCGGTCGTTCACTCACCTTTCCCATCACGGACATCTCGTCGGCCTCTCGAGGATGGCGCACACCTGTCACTCTCCGACTCTGTCAGCCGATCTCGAGGAGTCTCGATTTGCGCGGGCCGCCGTCGCGAATCCGTCTCGGGGAAATATAATTCGGAGTCGCGGTGTGAACGCGCGAAATCGCACCTCCTACCCCCTTTTATTCGACCGCCAGCCGTTCCTCCCCGTTGCACCGCTTCGTTCCCGGTCGGCCAATCGCCGCCCGGCTTCTCGACGAGCAGAGTCGCGCGAATTGCAGATGGTGCATCGAGCGAGAAATTCACTTACTTGTTAGTGACGCTGCCACGTCGCGGTACGAAAATTTCATTCGTATATAGGATATTATCTTTCGATAATCGATAATCGCGGGCAAAACCGGACGCAGAGTTTCGCGCCATGTAGCCTTATATTTCCGGTCAAATGTCAAAGCGCGAAGAAATGCAAGCGGCACCGCTATAAAGTTAGCAGAGGAATTTTTTAATATACATACTTTAATATTTATTATAATATTTTAATATGTCATATATATATATATATATATATATATATAACAGTATATTATTAAAAATAAATTCTCAATTATAATTGACATATATATATATATATATATGTAAATTATAATTGGGAATTTATTTTTAATAATATATTGTTTAATTATTTTATAGTATATAATTTGGGAATCGTTTGAGGAAGTTTATTAGGAAAACTATTTTAACATTTAGTCTTTTGTTAATAACAAAATTTTGAAAGATATGCAAGCAGCACCGCTATAACAGAAGAATTTTTTAATATACATATTTTAATATTTATAATATTTTTAATATGTCATATATATATATATATATATATATATATATATACATATTTTAATATTAATAATATTTTTAATATGTCATATATATAAATATATATATATATGACATATTAAAAATATTATAAATATTAAAATATGTATATTAAAAAATTCCTCTGCTAACTTTATAGCGGTGCTGCTTGCATTTCTTTCAAAAATTTTGTTATTAACAAAAGACTAAATGTTAAAACATGAACCATATCACGGAATCGAACCATTTACCAAGCGTCACGACGTAGTTCACGTCTACTTTCTCAAGGGGCGCATTAGTACACGCGTCTACCGAATTGCGGTGGCCGCTCTCAGGTTTCTCTCTAATGCTCCTTTTTTTCTTTTTTTTGGACAGGTGTTTTTTTTTTATAGAGATGCCTTGCGACGCGCTCGGGTGAGGTTAGATTTTTCGTCCTGCGACGTTTCTGCGTCTGATCTCGCGTGTTTAACAGTTTTGATCGAAAATTGACGTTCGACATGCTGTCCCGCAAAAACAAAGATTTGCGAACGATCAAAGAGGGAGTGGTCGGGAAATACGTGAAGAAGGAAACGCCTCCTGAAATGCCAAGTATGTCATCTAATATTTTTCTTTATTCCCTTTTCCTTCCTCCCCCGAAACATTTGTCATTTCATTGAAGTTTCTTTTTTTTTCTCTTGTATCATTCTGTTCAAACTGGAAAAAGAGAATTATAAATGTTTTCATAAATTTTATGAATTGCGATATTCGACGCGTGTGTTTACTTTTTGCGAGACAAAGCTTGACAAAGGATGCAGGATATCGATTCTGTAACTTTTTTCAAGTAAAAACGTGAAAATTGAAAAATTTCCGTCAATCACGCATTGATTTTAAAATGAAATCGATGTGCGGATATTTTTCACTTTTCACGTTTTTACTTTAGAAAAAGTTACAGAATCGATACTCAGATGTATTAATAGTCTTGTTATTATTAGATCTTTGCATGTGAAAGGGCGTTTTTAAATTTAGATTAATTTTTTTCACAAGATGTATTGTCCTTATCTTCTTTACGTTGAACAAACTTTGTTGTAATTAATCCTGTTCTAATTTTATATGTGGAAAAACTAAGATACCTTTATCTTTTTATGTTTTATCTATTCATACATAAATAAACTTGCCACTCAATTTATATTACAAATCTCAACAGAATTTTGTTTAAATACTCAGCAAAATATTGGCAATATATTCAGTGCAATAGATTTTGTCAAATTTGGGTAGCGACATAGTTATATAGTTAGCTTTCTTTATTTACATTTAATACTAACAGCAAATTATATGGGCTATTCAATTTTTTATTAATGAATTAATAAAATCCTTTTTTCTTTGAAAAATTGGAGTAATATTGATGCAACTTTGTTTAGTCTTTGTCACATTTATTTTATTCCCTAATATATCTTTTTCTTAATAATAAAGATATCAATTATATAACACAGTTTTTATTATTTGCATCTAGTTATCAATGTATGGACGACAGAGCCAAACAGAAGGACAAGACGTAATCACTCAACAATGCCGAATATGGTAAATTATACAATACTTTAGTTATATATTTATATAAATATAAGAACAAAGTATCATATAAATATGATACTTGTAACGTGTAATAAAAAATAAAGAGAATATCTGAGAAATCAGTTCAGTAAACTTTTTAAATCATTTTTTCAGTTTTGCTTTTATCAATTTATACATCTTGATATAAAATAAAACTTCAATTTTTTGGTATCTTTTTTACTAGGATTATGTATATATATATTTTTTTTAATTTAATTTTTATACTCTATTATGCAATTTGATACCAAGATTAATATTGTCTTGTATTTTATTACTGAATGTATATAAATGCTAAATAAAGTTGTAAGAAATTTATCTAAAAGAATATTTGATAAATTTGCACCTTTTACAATTATGTGAAAGCAATTATTAATTCTTTCCGACAGTAGACCTTTCCTTCGAGCTCTAGAATATATTCAAGCATTTCCTAGAATAGGATTCTTTCCGATAAATAAGAATCTTGCCTAATATCTCCCATTCACAATCAGCAGTCCCAAAATGGTTACAATACAGAAATATATATATATACCCTATACATGAAGATGTCTGAAGATATTGATTTTTATCGATGCTTCTCTGGTATCATAGTCCATTCCTCAACAACCTAGTATGGTGCAGAAGTTTGGCAATATAAAAACCACAACCAGTGCTGTTGGTTTAGGTAGCCACGAGGGAAAATATACGCCTAACAGTTCTGTTCCAGATTTAGTGCAAAGGTTAATAATTATTTAGATTATTTATTATGTTTAATTCTATTTTGTGAAACAATTCTTTCATACAAGTATGCACTATATATACTATTACGATTTGAGTAAAAATATTTTATAAAATAAAACCAATATTAAAAAATGAAACAAATATTTTATCGGTTTGAACATTTTAACATATTTTTTCCCTCGATGTTTTCATCCTTATCCTCACTGTAGATTTGCCAGTCTTTCTGTTAATACGGGAATAAATGACAGCATGTTTTCGAGAACTGCGACACCTATGTACCATCCTGAATTGTCGCCTGCAATGTCCCACACTTATATGAATCAGTACGCTGGATCTGAATATCAATTGGACAGAGTTCAGACACCACAAATGCCTTATATGCCTTTCGACATCGATTCAACCGGTTATGAAGATTACAATCACTCTATGTATCATCAAAATGCTGGGTAAGATTCTTTTAAATATTATATTAATGTCGTAAAGTGTATCAATTCATCCATCATTTGAGATGTCAATTTATATCCGAAAGTATCCCTATTTTAATGAACCTCGATTTCTGGATTCAAGTTACAGCAGATGCCATTCAGAGAGATCGAGTTCTCGAAGCGAGCAGCAGCAGGAAGAACTGCCCTTACCACCAGGATGGTCCATTGACTTCACACTTCGTGGCCGGAAATATTACATCGATCACAACACCAAAACCACGCATTGGTCGCATCCGCTCGAAAAGGAGGGCCTACCCACAGGCTGGGAAAGAATAGAGTCGCCTGAATATGGAATTTATTACGTCAAGTGAGCGATTTACCTTGAGAGAAGAAAGACGATTATTAACGCTTGTTACAATAAATTCTTTTTTAATTTTGCAGTCACATTACACGTCAAGCGCAGTACGAACATCCGTGTTATCCTCACGAGATACAAGCGGTGCGCGTCGTGTCACCACCTCGACACACGCACTTTCATTCTCACAGCGTGCTCGTGCCAGCTAATCCCTATTTGAACGAGGAGATACCACACTGGCTGTACGTGTACAGTAGAGCTTCTGCAGCTCTGGATCGTAAGCTGCGCTGGGAGTTGTTTCGTTTACCAGAACTAGACTGCTTCAATGCTATGCTCACTAGACTGTACAAGCAGGAACTAGAGGAGATTGTGATGCGTTATGAAGAATACAGGTAAGAATAAAATCTAAAATAATCAGTCGAGAGTACTACATGGATTTATGACAATTGCATTACCACATTGTTATTATAGATCGGCATTGTTATTATAGATCAGCATTGTTGTGCGAAATTGATCAAAGGCTGTTCCTATTCTACCCAGAATTGCGTTGTAATAACATCGGTATTGCCTCACGAAGATCTCTTCCCTAAGAGAAAGTTGTTGCTTAGATATATTACATATCGTATTTTACTCTCAACTGATGGAAAGGTTCCTCGGAAGCTTTAGGATGAGTGATTAACTGAACATGTCGCATATATGTAGATATTATAAAACTATCGAGTTTATCTTTTTTGAGAATATTTTTATTATATATTATATATAAGAAAGTAAGTTATATAAGAGAGTAATTTTAAGAAATTATTACCTCTAGTGCTCGTCCACTTTGACAGGTGCCTTTTCTATATCGGTAATTTCTTTTTCATTTTCAGTATTCTTTGGAAGGTCATATTCTGTGACAAATTTCAGGCCTGAGAATTGGTATATGTGCACATTCTCAGATACACCAGTCAAGTCTCTATATGCTAATTCTATAAAAGAATAATAGCATTTTTCACTGGGAGAACTAGTGCGCACTGAGTGCACATAAAGATACTCGCATACAATTTTACAATGACAGAGATAATTAAAAAAGTAAAATAATTAATAGTAAGAGCTGTTATTATTATTGTTCAACAATAAGAATAATGATAATAATAGCTCTTACTATTAATTATTTTACTTTTTTAATTACTTATGTCATTATAAAATTGTGTGCGAGAACCTTTATGTGCACTCAGTGCACACTAGTCTCCCAGTGAAAAATGCTATAAGTACTTTGTTAGTTTTTCTGACAAAATCAGAATCAAAACTAATGAAAAAATAGATTTACTTTGTTGCTCCTTGTCTTTTGGTAGCCTCTCTTTTAAAAGCATATAGAATATAATACCAAAACAATTCCATCCTACAAAAGCATAAAATATTGAGATGTTTTTCTTGATACGGATGGCTCTGTGTTTATCTTTTACTTCTTTTATTCCGAAATACCGCAGTATGGCTCTTCGCCACATCATTTTTAAATTTGTATGTTGAGTCTAAAGAAAATATCGTACAACCTACAAAAAAAAATATTTATAAAACCTATAAAAAATATCTTTGCATTATAAAACGTTGAATAATTTTGTACAAAAAAGTGGCATTAAATTATTAGTAACAATATTTGTTAATAAGATAAGATACGTAAATAAAGTTATAGTGACCGTAAAATAAATTTTTTTAATTATATATTAAATATAAGAGATTATAATAAATCAGAAAAATTTTTTTAGATTAAATAATTAATTAAGATGAGACGAATAAATAAACTTATGACAAATGTATATACAAAATATTATCTGTCGACGAAATTTTACAGCAAATTAATTTTAATTGTTACCAATATTATATACTCACTTGTTCTGGTATTAAACAATTATATTTGAAGAAAGATGTAACACTATTTCAGTCACTCATTTAAGGTTATGCGAGCTGAAATTCTCGCACATGCGCAGCGATAATCGCAATACGAGATATCGCGAACGATTAAATATTGAAATTCGAGATATTAAAAAAAAAGCAGTAGCTAAAAAATTCTCTCCTCTTTACAATCCTGAAAAATAGTGTCATTCGAAAACGTCAATATTTCTTTGAAATCTTTTAACAATTATTTAAATATCTAATACTAAAAATTAAAAAGAGAGGATCAAGATGTATCAAATTTTTAATTAGGAAAAATTTTTAATTGTCTGCGCGATTAAATAAAGAACAAAATTATTGATTGAACTTTGAGTCTGTATAAATTTTACGATCAACATATTTGATCATCTTAAATTAAATGACAAGTTTTAGATGAATCTAACGTCATTCTTTTCTCAGTCACTATTTCAAAAATAATTGGTTCTCGTAATCTTCTTTATATATATATATATATATATATATATATATATATATATATATATATATCTTTATATTATATATATATATTATATTTATACTCTACGTCTTTTTATATACAACTGACAATAACTTCTAAATTAAAACTAGATAAAATAATATAAACTCGTGTTTTTGTCCTTTTGCACAAAAATTTTCCTCCAGACAAAGTATAAGATAAAATGAAAGGGGCAAGAATGATTTCTTTTACAGAAGATGTAATAAGAAATATTTTTATCTTGTTTTTGATGCCACACATAAAGCAATCATTCATCGATAAAATAATCAATATTAGAAATAGGGATGCTTCGTAATAATTAAATTCCAATGACAGAATCTCTATAATTTGGAAGCAGTATTTTGCTTTACAAATACCCCTTTTCTTTGTCGTTTGTAAGTTAGAGACTAATGCTATATTAAGAAAGAAAACTTGAAATTCATTAAAACTTCGAATCATGAATTTTTGGATACTCTGTGTGTTTGTGTATGTGTAAGTGCGTGTATATAGATTTTTCATTTACAAACTTATATTAGCAAGCACGACGCATATTCGTACAGAAAAAGAAACAGAGTGGAAATAATTTAGACATATTTTTAATAAATGTGTATCTATTTACGCGTAAAGAATCTTTTCTCTGACTCTCATCTATGTCTTCAAAGTCACATTACATTATTTTACAATAATTATATATATATATATATTTATATTTATATATGTATATGTGTCACTCTCTGTCTTCGTACGAGATTTTGCGTAGCGAAGGTAAACGGAGCGTAACGCAAAGCGAGCATAAGTCGTGAGAAATGTTCGACGATAATAAAACCATGTCGAGAAATCATCGAAAAGGAATCGGGGGGAAAAAATGAAGAATGGCGATATTCGTGCGAATCCTCTCCATGAAAATATGAGCAAGCGGTCACTCATCTCTTTTTTTTTCTCTTGTCAACTATCATATTTTATTTTATTTTGTGGCTATTATTATTTGTTTATCATTGTCGTTTATTATTTTTTTTATTTAGTTATTCTTTATTGTTACCATTATCGTTATTCGTAATATTATTTAATTACTATTATGCAATGGTAAGAAATTTTAAAAACGACCCCGCGGTGTGTGTAGAATGTGTATATGTGTGTGTGTGTGTGTGTGTGTGTTTGTTTCTTTCCCCTACATTTATCAGTGTAGGAGCACAGCTCCAAAGTGGATCCTTATATATCTGCGCGCTGTATATCACTATCACGTAATTATTATTATTATTATTTATAAGCAACGGATGTTTTTTGGTACAATCAAATCTGTGTTTTCTTTTCTTCGTCTTTTTATTGTATATTTTTCTCTCATATTTCCCCATATCTCGCTCCTATATTTTATTCCATCCTTCTTCTCTCTCTCTCTTTATTTAAAAAAAAAACAACATATATATATATGTATGTATATATGTATATATACATATATATTTGTCTCGCTCTCATATCCTTCATCTTTCTTCCAATTGAACCTTATCACTCGTTAATTTGCGTTAGCCGTCTTCCGTTGCGGCTTTACGCCTCTTGAAAAAAAGATTTTTGTTCTATCAACCCGCCGCAGTCTCTATGTTAGTAGCACATGGGCCTATATTATGTATGTTTTACACGTGTATTCTCTCATTTATCGCAGTTTGGTGTACGCGTGTGTGTCTGTGACTTGTTTTGTATCTCATATTAACTATATATATCCTTTTTTTTCTTTAATAATATATATCATATTGTATATATATTTATATTTGTTTTCATTTTTTTTTACCTAATTTATTACGTACCTGTTATAATTATCGTTATCGTTAATACGAATATATGATACATATATTCAAATACCCCCGCTGGCTCTGTCAGGAGCAATAATAAACAGCGCAAGGGTCAGTCGGGAGGTGCAGAGTGTCGCGTCCTCCGTAAAATGAACATAAGGATCACAACGACGTGTATAACTTCGTCCATTATTCGAAATTTACATCACGATTGTCCCGTCCTACTCGAGAGAACGCAACAAAATCTTAGTCAAGGAGGGACTAATATATCGTTGCGTGCTGACACTGTGAATACACACATCATACAATCGAAAGCATTTTCCGTTTCCAAAATGGGAATAGAAACGGAAGTGTAAAATGTATACCCGATATACACATATATATAAAATCATTTGGAATTCACTGATCGTTACACATTGTTATTGTTGTCATTATTGTTGTCAAAAAAATATAAAATTGCGTGCATTGTCTTTTTCTTTTGCATTTTTTTCTCTTGCTTCCATTATTCCGCTATTCCAGTCACAACTAATAAAATGAATTACATTATGTCAAGGATGCCATCGTGAGACACTTTGTTTCACTAACAACAATAATTTTTTGCGTGTAGTATATGGACAATCGACGTAAACTAAGAGCTAACAATCGGGCAGCGTGGTACTGTAATTCGACCTGTAACAAAAAAAAGATAAAATATTATTCAATAATCATAAAATTATTGAGAATAAATTTTTATATTTGTATAATGTTACATTATCAGGGTGTTTACTTAAATTTTGTAAAAAGTTCTCTGAGAATTCCTTGATAAAAATAAAAATATAAAACAAAAAATAATTTATTATAAACAAGTACTAATTTATTGAAATATTATCTATTAAAAAATTGAACAATTCTATGAAATTTATAATTTATATAAAATCTTGATATTAAAAATAGATTGTCAATCAAAAGAATTACAAAATTTTAATAAAAACTTAAATATTACCAAGATATGTTAAACATTCGTTTCTTAAGTGCTAAATAAAAATAAAATTAATAAAAGGATAATTTTTTTAAAATTCCCTGATTTTTCAAGTTTGAATGAAAATGCCTGAGAATACCAGATTTTCAAGGTTTCTCTCGAGAGTATACACCCTGATTATTATTATTATTATTATTATTACCAGCTCAGGGGCGGGTTCGCGTCGTAGGTGTGTTAGTGGCAGGAACTGGATTATTGGAGGTAGCTGTGAGAGCATTACGTTCGATATTGTTACGTCGGTCTAGCTCCAATTCGTTCAGTCTCTTCCACAACTCTTCTCTCTCCTTTTCCCTCTTTTTCTCTCTATAATTCAGAGACATTTATGTAAAAGTGGAATGCAAACAAGTTTATATTGTTCACATGAGTTCAAATGAGTTTATAGATAGTTACTTAAACGGACATTTAAATTGACAGTGCATTATCAAGAGATATTTAGTTAATTAAAGAGAGAAATTTATAAAATAATTTCCAAATTTAGATTTACTTTTGCCTCTCAGACTTATAGCTGGCAGTAAGTTCATCGAAGAGCTTGCTGTTCATCTCCATAAACGTTTTTAAAACGTTATAAACCAGAGCTACGATCGTCTGATTCCAATGCTCTTTACTAATTCTGTACAACGCTGGAAACATAATTCCCATTATTACATGATTGTTTTCTTCAATTAGAGACATTATGTACTCATTATTCCAAAAGTACAATGCTCTCTCCGCAACCTGTAACAATGCATAAACAATTTATCACATTACGGCTTTTATGAATTTGTTAAAGATTTAGCTGAAAACGTTACATCTAAATTGTTTTACCTGAAAATGTGGTGAAGACACACAACGTGCGATTTGCCTGAATAAAGGTTCTTGTATTTTAACAAATTGGCTAGGTTCTATAACGTCCAGTATTTCCTCGATTTCGCCAAGGAACATCACCTCCTTCTGGCTGCACGTTTTAGGCCAGAATTTAAGGAGGCCTCGTACAACTGGTTCTGTTAAAGTCGCGTCTTTTTCCAAAAATTGCACCACACAATAAGCTAACTGCGCGTGATATAGTGATAAACATTTCACTTTATGTAGTGGTAACAGCACCTGTGGAAATAAACACAAAAATGATTATTTTTTTATATTTGTGATATTTGAATAAATTATTCGATATTTTATAATTGTCATTTACATTTCATTAATCATTTATTTTTGTAAAAAACAATTAAACTCGAGATTCTTTATAGTACTTTAGGATTAAAAAATAGATTAAGTTTAATAGTGAGAATATGATATATATAATCAGAACGTACCTTAACCAAAAATTGCTTGTGCTCAACTTTTAAAGGAAGAGCGAATCCATTAATAATGCTACCCAAAATTTCAAGAAGTTCTCCGACGCCGTTGAAATGTTCCGTCTCATATACAAACCTAGAATAATAATAAAATAAAAGATTACAAAAGTATATAATATTTCGAACAAGGAATGTGTAATATAGAGGGTGAAAAGGGGATGGTGTTTTGCATTTAAATAAATACCTCAGAAAAATGTTGTTTATTTGTTTGCGTATGAAGGCTCTAAGACCCAGAAACTTGCCATAAATACGATGCAAAACGGTTTTCAGGAAATCCCTTTCCCTCGGGTCTTCCGAGTCGAACAAATCCAATAACTATAAACATATAGAAATGTATTGATTTATAATCTATTATACTTTTAATTTATAAAAAGTTTTAGAAAGCGTGTTAGATATATCAAAAATATATCTTGAAAATAAAATGCGAGAGTGCTCTCTACCTGTAACACAAATTTTTGGTCGATAACTTTTTTGCCAATGGCAGGCTGGAAATCTGAAGATTCGAGAAAACGGAGGAAGACTTCGTAGACCAACTGAAGATGGGGCCAACTCGCCTCCAGGGTTGGATCATCCTCTTCTGGGTCGAAATCCGGGTTTTCACTTGGTGGCAACGTACGGAATAAATTTGCAGAAACCTTTAACATGATTACATTAACATTAAGTAGTGTTTCACGAATTTTACTTATTACTAAGAATATACATATATACAAAAGTCTAAGAATTACTGAATTCAAAAGAAGAATTTATATGCTATCTAGGTAGAATAATTTCCGGGGCGATATAAAAAGATGATATATTGAAGCGAATAAAGATTATGATACGGATTCCAAGCCTTACTAACGAGAAAAGGATGAGGAATGCAGAATTTTCAATCTCATTCTAATAATTTTCTTATATCTTGACATCGCGCTTTTATCAATCACATACCATCTTGATGGTTTCCGGGTAAATGGGCTCAGTAAGGACACCTCGTCCTGCTGTAATATACTCCACCAATTCATTGAGCGTACTCCGTTTAATTTCTTTACCCTTGAGATCAGCCATTGGATCCATGAAGTCGAAAGCAACGCAGCATTGGCGAAGCTTTTTGATAAACAATTCCTCCTGCTCCGCAGCGTTAACATCTGTAACAAAAATAGATAGCATTGATATAATCTTAGATTACGATATATATCTTACATTTCGAGCGTAAATTTTTACTTTTGCTAGTCACTAATAATAATGATTAAAAAATAACTTCGACGAAGCTTTCTTCTTATACAAGTGGCATATTTTTATATCTGACACCGTTTGTTGCAAATAACCGATTTATTAAAAAACAAAGAGTATTAAAATGAAATCGATAGTTGCTATTTTTAACTTTCTATTGCGTAAATAATAGCCCAATAAAACGGTATCGTTTCTTTTTGCCTCTAAATGTGTAAGCAAACAATTTAATTGAGCCGATAGAAACTGAAGTCATCTAAGTCATTCAGTTATTGTTACACGACAAGCTAGAATGCTTTGAATATTGTATAAATGATTTATAATGTATCCTCTTCAAGTTCTGCTTTGAGACGAAATTGCAGTCGAGTTTTTCGATTCTTCGAATTTTCTTGAAATTGAAAAGCGGAATTTTATTATCCATCAAAAATCTTTGAAGTCTTACTTCGTAAAGGAAAAAAAGAAAACTTTGTGATGTCGAATAGGAAATATTATCGTCCTACATTACATATAAAAATATGTAAAATTACACTTATTATTTATGTAATTTTATATATTTTTTTACAATGTATCCTATAGAATTTCAAAGCGAAATCCAATCTAGAAAAATGTCGCGTTTTACGTGAAAATCTAAATTCGATATTAATGTCAATAATGATAATAAAATGTGTATATATATTTTCTTTTTTTTAACAAACGTGTTTGAAGATATTCTTCATCTCCGACAAGGAGAAATATAAAACGCGCTTTCTTGTATAAAAATATATAAAGCATGTTAAAGTCTTTTTATTCTTTGTTACAGTATCGCAGAAAAAAGTGTCGAATTAACACTATATACACAACAATATCTTTTTTTAATCTAAATTTTAAATTTCAACAATATTATTTATTTATATATTGTCATCTGAAGAATATAATGATGAAAAATTTATTTTCTATGCAAGAATTTTTAAAGAATAAGATTAATATTTTTTTTAGTTGAATTATATAAAATGTTTTTATTTAAGCAAATTTTCACGCTTATATACAAGCATGGGCGTCTGCAAAATTTTTTCCAGGAGGAGATATAATTTCTTAATAAAAAAATTGTTATTTTTATTTTTTTTATTTTAGTGTTTATTCGAAAATTTCCTATTTTAAATTTTATTAATTCAGAATCATATAAATAAATTATTTGACACTTGTTTTCGAATTTTTTCCAAGAGAGGGTTATATTTTTTTTTTTTTTTTCCTCTCTTAATTTAATGTCACAGAATTTAATGTCAACAGAATTTTTTCCAGGAGGAGATATATTATTGTTTTTTTCTTAGTTTAAAAAAATTTTTTTTTATTATTTTAAAAATATTTTAGTATTTATTCAAAATTAACTTTTTTAATCTTTAAACATTTATTTTTTTTCCATTTTCTTTCATATTAAATATGCAAAGAAATTCTCTGATTCCAAGAGGGTCTCCCCTGCAAATGCCCATATATACAAGTATATAAATTTTTATTTGACACTTGTTTTCGAATTTTTTCCAGGAGAGGGCAAATTAATTTTTTTTCAATTTTTTCCTCTTAATTTTTTTATGCAAGTATGTATGGACGCGAAGAGAAGGAAGCTTGCACGCGCGCGCTCGTGACAGTTGCCGGCTCGTGTCGGCGGCGTGTGATGCTGCAGCTGCAGCCACCTTTCGCGCTCGGTACACAAGTATTCCCGGTGGGGGTGGTTGATGGTCTCTCTTGCTATCTCGGCCCGCGTAATCGCGCGAGTCAACGTCCACGGATTAGGATTAGAAATCGATTCCTCCTGTCGGCTCGCGTTAATTCACGCTTATCGCTCGTAGCTGCTAATCGCTGTTCATAAATCCGATATCGGTCTGTAATTTACTGGAGTTTCGCCATTTTCTCGAATTTTTTTTATTCGCAATTATAAGTTCCGATAGCCTCGCCAATTTATTTGCATATTAAAAAAAAAAAAAAAAATTCTATGGATGCTGACTGACATTTCGTAGCTTCGTTGAAGGGTGACTCGAGATGCAACGAAGGATAAAATATAGGACCACGTTCAGTGAGTGAGCGCTAACCTGGTTAAGCTAAATCTCGTTTTGTCCATCCACGCCGGAGCGTATGTTCACCGAGAAATAAAAGAGAGAGAGAGAGAGAAAATAAAAATTCCTTTTAGCCGTAAGAATGTTCTCCAAATTTTTATATCAGAAAAAGAAACCGCGCGTCTTGCCGTATTTTTTTTTATTCGAAATATTCATCATATGGGTATAAAAAAAGCTCCCCTGTATGTATCCTCTGTCAAAAGGGTAACACACGTATCAGCTAATCAGTTTTTCCTGTACGCTCCATCACCCTTCGGAGAGATGATGGTCCCGCGGCAACTCTGTTCATAATGGCAGCCGACGTGGCCTCAATGACTTTATCAAATTATGTCAAACTCTGCCTCTCTCTTCTTTCATCCCTCTCATAATCAACGACCTACGCAAAATATCGCCGCGCAAAGTGGCCATCCCCGGGAACAAAAATTGGCGGGAAACTCCCTTATGTATTTATCCGCCGAGATTTTTTTCCGGGGTGCTACAAAAATTTATATATATATATATATATATATGTCCGAGAAAATGCTGATTCGCCACGTTCCAATTGCAAGTGCCCCGCTGTCGTCGCTCTTGAATGGCGACATTCGAAATTGGCGAGTCGAAATAGCGCTCGTAGCAACACACAAGCTTTGTAACACGTCCAAGACGTATTTAGACGATTTTGCAGACGTCAGATCGCACCGCATGGCGCGATCTTATTATCGCTGTCGCACGTGGGACTTGGATTTTTTTTTAGCTGAACCGCGTGATGGATCGTTTCATTTATATATATTAAAAAAATATATTGAAAAATAAAAATTAATAAATGAAAGATAAGAGCGCGCGGATCATAGATAAGAATTTGAGAAAAGATTACCGATAGCACATAATAATTAATGGTTACATGTGCCAAAAATTATATTATTAATTATTAAAAATTATTATATTATTAATAATTATTAAAAATAATATTATTGATAAGGGATTATACAGAAAAAAATTGTAAGATTCTTTTACTCCCTTTTTCGAAAAAAATATCCCTGAGAAATATTCCTCATTTCTCTTTGCGATTTAAATCGAGAACATCTAATTGTTAAATAAAAGATAAGAGCGCGCAGGTCATAGATTAGAAGATGAGAAAAGATTACTGATAGCAGATAATTAATGATTACATGTGCGATTACAAATTCGTTTTGCACTTGTCATTAATCTTATTGCTCTGGCATCTCGCAGAAATTTAGCGGTATCGAAAATTACATTATATTATTAATAATGATTAAAAATTGTATTCTTAATAATTTTTAAATATTATATTATTAATAAGGAATTATTCAGAAAAAGATTCCTTTACTTCTTTTTTAGAAAAAGAAAAATATCCCTGAGAAATATTCCTCATTTCTCTTCGCGATTTAAATCGAGAACATCTATTTTTTAATTGTTAAATAAAAGATAAGAGCGCGCAGGTCATAGATTAGAAGATGAGAAAAGATTACTGATAGCAGATAATAATTAATGATGTGCGATTACAAATTCATTTGCACATTATTAAATTGACACTGAAAAAAATGACTAAATTAAGAAATATTTATTTCAATACTGTCTAATAAATCATTTATTTGGTACAAACAAATATTTATCTATTTCGAAAAGAATTTTCTTACATGATGTAAATATTATTACTTTCAAATAAATAATTTATTTGGCAGTATTAAAATACTTATTCGAATTTAATAAATTTTTTTTTAGTACATAACAATTATATTATTAACGAAGGATTATTCAGAAAGAAATTGCAAAATTTTGTTACTCCCTTTCTCGAAAAAGGGAAGAAATATATTCCTGAGAAATATTCCTCATTTCTCATCGCGATTTAAGTCATCTATTCTCTACACTTCTCCATCCGATAAATCGATAAATCCTACGTATACAATCGGGCTAACGATTAAATGAATAATTTTGATTCATACCAGCCTCCGGCCATCGTATGTATGTTATAAATTTCGTGCAATTTGCACGCTTCTTTACGGCTCTCATGCTTAAATAATGAAATCGGAACTACACTAAAATTACATTAAAAATATGTAAAATTACATAATAAATAATTAAATAATAAATGTAAAATTACATGATAAATAATGAAAAGGTAAAAATTTCTATTATTTATCGTGTATAATTTTACACTTATTATTTATGTAATTTTACATATTTTGTGTAATATATTATATATGTATATTTTTTACAGTGTATATATAAGTTGCACATCCCCCGCGTTATTCGCCCGATAATACACAACAACGGGGTGGAATTTACGTCACGCTCGGGCTATAACAAGGTGAGGCTGTAATTAATTTTTCATCCGGGGTTCGTTCGGCGTAATCGATACCAGACCCACGATTCTTTCCCTCCGATCGGGGAGAAAAAAAATCGAAAAAAAAATCGAAGGGCCCTAACGCGATTCTGATTAAAAAAAATTAAAAAAAAAAAAAAACAGAGAGGACAGGAAGGTCGAGAATCGCGACGCGTCGTCGCGAAGGACTCCAAAAATAGCGTTACGCTCTCGCCTTCGCGCCCTGGTTCCCATCCTTCTTTCGCTCTCTCCCTCGACGTTACGTGCGCGCGATCATCTAGGCATGCACGTATTTATAATTTCATTCATAACGCGACACGTTACCCACACATGCATGCATGCGCGAAGCGTCGTCGCGAGATTCGAGGATTAAAATATTATTTATTATATGTACATACACACACACACACAGTTGAAAAATTGATGTCAAATTTGACAGATACGTCGATCCGCAAAAATTTTACATTTAATTTTACACTTGTTATTTATGTAATCATCGCGTAAAATA